TGCAATATACTACGATATAAGTGATTATATATGATTATGATTATAATTACCTAGCATACAGATTGCAAATAATTCAAAATTTTTATAATCGGAAACGATTAGATGTAAAAAATAAAGAATGTATAAATGACATGAAGAAGTTTTTTCTTCATAGATTAAATTTTTGTTTAATTCACTTTATTGCATTTAATGCTTTGATGGTGTAAATTTGTCGATAGTGTCATAGATTGATAATATCAATGAATCAGGGTGATCTTTCTTAATATTATCAGTTATATCATCTTTATTCCACTCTCTCTCTTTCTCTCTTCTTTCGAAAGATTCATCAAGCAACAGTGATTGCTTACTTGTACTTGCTTTCAAAAAATTTCAAAATAATCATTGGTTTGATAAATGATGCGTTTAGCATTTTGTTGACATCAAATATGATAAGAAGAGCTTAAGATAATAGTAATGAATAAATAATACACTTTGTGATGTATTGTTATATGCAAAAAATTGAAAACAAATAAAAAATGTTCAGCTTTTTTTAATTTTTTTTTTCTTTTTTCGTTTTATTTTTCAGCCTATCATTTTGATCACTTCAACATTTTGATTAGATGAATTGCTTGAATGGAAAACAAAAACAAAAAAAAAAAAAAAAAAAAAAGAATCTATGTAATGAAAGTGTTTTGAACAATTTATAATCTATTTCAGAAGTTAACCAGTCCATCATCTTTCGTCTATTTCCGGACATTTCATCCGTCTGCATTTAGTATCATCCGATACTTCTTCTTTCTATTTTTTTTTTTTCTTTCATTTCGATATCATTTGACTTCTTTATTCTTTGTTATTTTTGTCTCTTTTATTTATAACTGCTTATACAAAGCTTATGCAAAGTTTTAAATTGTCATTTGTTTACAGTATACAATTTCAGGCGCTGTTAATTTTTATCGTTCCGGATAATGTTGCATAGCTTTTCTTTTTCCTTTTAATTTTACTTTTTTTTTTTTTTTTTTTTTATGTTTGCTCTGAATAAATGAATAAACTGTTGCGAAATTTTGTTTATAATAAAAACTTTTCCCTTTTTAATTTAATCTAATTTTTAAACTTTAAAGAATGAAAAATGGAATTAATTTGAAAATGTATTTTCTCTTCTTATTTTTAACAAATTCTCACGTCATTTACAGCAATTTCTTTTAAATGTTACTAAACGAGGATGAAATTTCGAAAAAAAATATTGGCTTCTAATTATTCCATTCACCATATTTTCTACGAATATTTTTAATACAATAAATAGCGATGCACAAACATATATACATGCACAAACACAGAGATACCTCAAAAATAAAAGAAATTTCTATATTTTTAGCTGAAGAACAATTCATATTGAATTGCGCATTAAAAAATGATTCGCTGTATTTCTTTGATGAAAATGTATCTGAGACAAAAGTGCACTCTTGCTACTATCTTCAAATTTATTTCTTTGTTTTACTCTTACCTAATAGAATGATAATTTTAGAATAACCGACTTTTGTAATTTGCTCATAACAGTTTATCACTAACTTATTGATGTTATCCATATCAGTAGTTTGATAATTTCATAATATTATTGATTATGACTTCATTAATAATAATAAAAAGGAAAAAAAAAAAAAGTAGAGGAGGCACAGCTGTGATATTAATTAATTGTATTGTTTTTATTGGTCACAAAAATTTACTACTTTTTTGGATGAAAATAAAAATATAAGTGAGAGAAGAAAAGGAAAAGCAGTGACATTGTTCAAATGACATTGGTAAGCAGATGTTCATGCAGACAGTGCTGAATTTTAAATAAATGTAAAAACGGAACGAAATTCCCAGTCTTTTTTTTTTTTTTTTTCTTCCTTTTTCCCCTTTCTCTCTCTTTATTTCTCTTTCCTTATTTTCTTTTTACCAATTTTTCCTATCGTTTCTTCAGCTTTTATTCCTTTTCACAACTCTTTTTCCAGCATTAATACATTCTAATTTTTCTTTCCTTTTTTTTTTTGCTAGCATACCTTATATGCTAACTATTGACCACACCCAATTTAATTTGTATAAGATGAAAATTTGCTACACCGTTAGTTATGGATGAAGTAATTTATGATACTTTTACCTTATCATTAATTGTTTCTTTTCTTCTTGTTGGCAGTCAATAAAATCTGAGAAAAATTTCCCCTTTTTTCTTTTTTTTTCTTTTTTTCTTTGTTGAAAATCAAAAATTTTCCTGATATATATGATGAATATTTGATGATACCAATATTGTTAGTATGTATCTTCGATAAGTATATCTAATTGAAATTACTGTTATCTTAGTGAGATATACTTAATTCAGCAAAGTATTATGACTGGACTAGAAAGATCAAGCTAATTTGTCCTGAAAAAATGAATGCTATTATATTAAAATATTAAATAGTAGTGGTAATATTGTTGATGTTTCTCGTATTGTGCTTAATGATGCGATTAGTGATTTTTATATAATTTAAGAGCTTTTTGATCAATGATTCTTTAATTAAATCACTTAACTGGATGCATTCAAAACGTTCATATAACAATATTACTCTTCTTTTTATATTGCATAAAATTATTAAATAAATCTCGACATATTGCTATTTTCATCCATTCTTTCCATTATCTAAAGGAAAAAAGCAATAAACAAAATGCAGGAATACATGCATGCATTTATGCATTAGCAAGGATAACTTTAGCGAAAGTTAGAAAGCAGAAAAATGATTAAATTTTCAATTGAATTTTTACGCAATTTAAGAATTTCTTGATCAATAGCAAGCTGTAAGATTCTCATTTAATTTACTGTTTTCCTATATATAACAAAACAAGAGAAAAAGAAATTGTGATAATTTTTCAACTTATCAATTTAATACTACTGATTTCTAAAATTGATACACACAATTTATTTACGTATGTAAATTTTTTTGTAAAAATTTAATTATAAAAAAAGAAAAAATAATAACAAACAGAAACAAAATTTCATTCATTTCGTATTAGAAGAAAAAAAAAAAGGACAAAAACAAAAATAAAACAAACCTCGCACATTATTTAGAATAATTTAAGACAAAAAATTTACGATTTTTTCTTCGTTTTGAATTATTTCTGCATGATTTTTTTTCCCTTTTTTTTTTTGCAAAGTTAAAATGAATTTCTTCACACTTTATTGCTATTTTCTTCACTTGAATAAAATTAAGAATATAACGATTTAATTTGTTCACAAAGTTTAATATTTTCTTTATTATATCTTTTAAACTGATAATTGTTTCGCTGGATTTTATTCTTTCGTTTTCAATATTTGATATCACTAATTTCTTTTTCCCTTCTGTTTAGAAAACCAAAAAAAAGTAAGTAAATAATAGTTATAATATCTAACAAATAAATACATTATTGCGTTGATATATTAATGAAAATAATAGCTTCTCTTATTCAGTAATTCATTAAAATGTTAACAAATTAAGTAAAAAGTAAAGCATTTCGTGGAGATTAGATTTTGAGAAATAACTGTCAAATTTAAGAAAAACAGTTATTATAAAAACACCAGTGAGTTGTAAAATAGTGAGGTTTATGAAGTTTAATAAAAAAGAACATGCGAAGTTTTATGCTATCACATGTAGTAAATGCTAAAAGTAATTAACAAATTATTGTAATGATAAATAATTATCCAGGTGAATTTTAAGTTGCAAATATGCTGGAGGTTTAGCAGGCGCAAATATTATAGTACATCGTCATAACAACAATTTAAAAAAGAACAGAGGAAGTGGATAAAAGGAAAAAAATTCCTTACAACCTATCAAGCTTTTATCATATCATTTGATTGAATTATACCTATTTTTTAAGAAAATTCTCAGAAAAGTGTGAGATTGAAAGGAAAAAAAAATAATTAATATCATTTTAAATAATCAATAGTCTTTTTACATCGTTTCAAAAGCAATATATATATATTCGTTGTGAAACATCTTTTTCCAATGAAAAAGCTAAATTGAAAGATACTTTTGAACGAACTAAATTATTAAAAAGTGAGGAAGAGTAAGTACACAAAATAATTAGTGGTAATGCAAGATTCTTGCATATATTATGAATTAGATTGATCAAATTTACATTAAGTCTCTTTCTATATTGCTCATTTCGTATTATTCATTCTTTACTAATTGCTTATTACCATGAATACAGAGAAAAAAATAATCATTATTGAACCATGCAATTATAACGATAGAGATTGACTTAGTAATCTAATTTGTTCGACTGTTTGTTTTCGAAATACATTTTAAGATATATGTTTGAACTTTTTTCAGTGTAAATTTGTGGAAATTTGAAAGAAAAACATTCAGAAACTTGAAAATATATTGAAAGAATTTTCGGTATTACTTGTTTTTTGTATTACTTTTAACATTTTAACATTGCTAAATCTTAATTAATATTTTAGTAGAGTGAAAATTGATAATTTATCATAAATGTATTTTCATCATTTTTTTTTTGTCACATAACTACTATTCTGAATTAATTTAATAACTTTAATGCTTTTTTAAAACAATTTCGTTACGAATCAAAGAATTCTTTCCTTTTTCAGTCAAATAAAATATTTTAAACCAAACATTCCATTACTTATAATTATTTGATCTGAAAATTTATTTGATTTCAAAAAAAAAAAAAAAAAAGCTAGTTGACATATTTTGATCCCATTGTTTAATTTCAGTATATAGGTTAAGATAATAATTTCACCTAAAAAAAAAAATTATCCAATGAATGGTTGGTTATACTTGATTAGTTAATTTCAACGAACGTTATGTTACCAATCGTTAAATCATTTTTAATAATTCATAAATGAACGATTATGACTAATTTTAGGTTAAAAATAATCTATCTAAATTATTCATGTAAAAAATTAATTTGGATTTTATGCATTATATAGTTTTAGACACAGTACATTTCATGTTTTAGAATTCTTGTTCAATTTATAGGAATGAAATGAATCATACAAATGAATAACATAAATGAGTACCACTGTAACATCATTGGAAATGCGCCTGCTCCACAGATGCGAGATTGCATTTGGCCAAAAAATACAATTGAGCGATTGTTTAAGTAACTTGGCAACATTAGTAGCATTCGAGAAGCAAGGAATACAACAATGTCCCGCGAATCTTTCATGTCTGTTATTTGTTCCTTTAAATTCTGTAATTTCTATTTGAAATACCATTTTCTATTAAATTTATCATATGAGATTTTTTTTTTTTTCTATTAACAATTAATGAGCAATGAAAAAAAAAAGTAAAATCATTTTGCATTATACAATGGTAGGGTTAAAATTGCATTTGTTATTATTGAAATAAATGGGATTCAATAGAATTCATTCAACAATATTCTGAAAAAGAAACAAAATTCTCATAAGTCAATAAAATTACTAATTCATAATCTTCACTGCCAACTTTCGTCACAAAGTTATACTTATTTATTTTTCCGTTATCAGGTAATTTGTATCCAAAAAATCAAAAACGAAATTTAAATTCCAAATTTTATTTAAATTTTAGTCCCACAATATATTCATAACAGTGGTTATGACAGTGCTTGCGGTCGAGTGGAAAGGCAAATCAATCAATTCGTAATGCCAATGCTGCAGTTATTATGTCTTTCCGGAAATATTCTAAATTTGCTCATCTATCGATTACCTTACTTTCAAGGCAGCACATCAGTTCATTTCCTGAAAGTAAAAGCTTACGCTAATTTGGTGTTCGTTGAATCCAGAGTTCTTGAGGTTAGTTTTCAGTGTTTTTTTTTTTTTTCAAAATAATACTGCAATAATTGAACTTTTAACTTTTTGCTTTGCACAATTCCAATTCCCTCAAACTTTAAATATGCAAAATTTTGGCGATTAACTTTCTCACTTTTTAACTTTTCAAGTTTTTTTTTAACGTTTCAAACTATTGTAAAAAGAATTTAAAACAATTTTTGCAAGGTGATACATGCGTGGAATGTGCATGCTAATCCTGCATTTGAAACATTTTATTGGTACACGAAACCATATGTCATTACAATGGCTAGCATAAGCGGTACAGTATCCACATGGTTCGTCATGTTTAATAATTCATATTCATTTTTCAAAGGATTAAATTTAGATTTCAAGTTAAAGTGACAGTCATACATAAAGACATTTATAGCAACATCCTGTGTTAGTATGAAACTATAATTAATATTAAACTACTAGTTATTTTTAATAGTTACATCCTTCTTTTTTTTTTTTTTTGAAATATTGAAGTCTGTTTTATAATTTGATTACATTGCAAAAAAATCTCAAATCTCAGTCCTACAATGTTTTCTTCAACAGCACCGTTACAAAAATATCAAACCGTTTAATTTCAGGATGACATTAGTGATAACAATTGAAACGGTGCTCTGTGTATTATTACCATTTTATTTTCGTCAAATTTGCACAAAACGATTAAGTTTGATAATACTATTTTGCTTCGTGCTATGCAGCATTTTCTTGCATATACCATTTATATTCAGTCAAACAGTTATCAGCAGCCCGATATTAAAGGAATTGGAAAATCGACAATATAATAGGTTCTTGAAAAAAAAATAAGGAGAAAAAAAATATTTCTATTTATATTTAATTGTTTAATTGATCTATTCTAATCCATTTCATATATCATTTTAATCAAACTGAAAATTTTTATCAGATGCTATTGGATCACAAATCAATATTTTATGGAAACGTATAGGGAACCATTTTATGAGTACATACAAAAAACATATTATTGGTTGCAAATAACACTATCTATTCTTATCCCAAATATTGCTATGCTGATATGCTCTGTATTAATCGTCGCGCAATTTAGTTTCAAGGTATTTTTACATAAGCATTTCATACATTATGTTTATTAATACACTGTAGATTACATACCGTAAACTACACACCGTACTACAAACTATAGTCAAATCAGTCATTTTTCATTTATTCGATGTGAAACGAATTATACACTAATATGTAAATTAAATTTTCGAGTATACAAAAGTGATGCATGGAAAATTATTAATTAGTGTTCCAGAATCACAACGAATCATTTAGTCAACGACGAAAATGTGTGATTAGGATGACAGTTGCGACAACACTGTCACATCTTTTACTGGAAGGACCGGCACTATTAACATTTGCTGCTGTTGCAAGAAAAGGTTATTTGCATAGTTTAAATTTCTGGAAGAAGGAAAGGTTTCCTAATCGTTAATTTACATATCAATAAATTTACGAAATGTTACTCATAATTCGAATTTTTATCCTTTTTTTTTTTCTCCATTTGAAATATTAAAATTAACAATTTTAAAATTCACTTTATTCTAAAAAAAAAAAAAGTTTAGATTTTGAAAAGTATTTTCAATGAAAATAAAATTCAAAATTAACATGTGCTAAACAATTGAAGAGTTGTTAAAATAATTAATAATAGGAATTGTTGTATTTGTTCAAAAATAAATCTTTTCTTTTATAGGTGCGAATAGTTCAGATCATGGCAATAATATTTGTATATTAGCACATGGTAATAATTTACTATCAGTAATTAATGCTGCAACGCCATTTTTTGTGTTTCTTGCATTTAACGAGCAATTCCGTCGTATGTCATTAGTATTCATACAAGTTCACTTCGTACCACGACGATTTATGAAGAAAACATCGGTGCCACCGCATAAGCTACATGGTATTAGTTCATCCGTAAAACTGATCAATAATGCCAGTTCATTTCCAAGCAATTATACACATTTGTAGAATAAATAATACATACATCTTTACCCTTTATTAAATGCGCTTTTTTTTTTTTTTTTTTTTTTATTCATTTACTAAAAAAGACATTATTTGTATAGTAATTATAATTGATTTGCCTTTCAGTTTGTTTATTCATTTATTTTTTCAAATTGTAAGTAAAAATTCCATTATTTATTACTTTTACGAAGTTCGTATTTTGTTACTTTGCAATGGAAAAAATGAGGCAATAAGTAAAAGAATAATAAATTATTCTTAAAGAACTATTTCAGCATATAACATAATGTGTCATAGTAACTGAGTGAACAAAATAAAAAAGAGAAGAGAATTTTTTATATTTTTTTGAAAGCAATTTCCTTAGCAGCAATTGTCATTCGTTTTCTCTTTCTTTTTCAAAATTTCATTATTTCGCCGTTTGATTATCTTTTCTTTGATCTACTAATAGGAATTCTTTTTTCTTCTTTTTTTTTTTTCTTGACATCTTCATTTTAATGGAATCAATTAGTTCAACAAAAGATCATTTGTTTATTTTTGTTTGTTCTTCGTATTTGTTACATTCATATAAACAGCTTTTGATCTCATCGCTCATGATTACCCCATATCTACTTTTTTTTTTTTCTTTTTGTAGCTTTTTACATATCTATTCTACGGTTAGTAGGAATGACAAAATTCTTACATGACAAAATCAATAGATTCAATTCAATTTGTATTTTTAGATTTTTGGTATAAATTTACTTAATACATCCAAGCATGTTACAAAAAACTTCATGCAAAAATTATTATGGCATAAAAGATTGCATAGATTATAACTATGCATCTTAAGGCACTAAATGAATTTGTCAAATTACTTTGATATAGTTTATATAGGACAGAAAATTTCTGTTATTAATAGGAATCATTACAAATATAGATATAAATGCTTATGCATAAATCGATGCTTATTTCTATACTTTCTCATACTTCTATTATTTCTTTTTCTATCTAAATTGTTAAAATTCTTGTTCTATAATAGTTGTTGCACTATAGCATAGAAGTTATTCTTTAATAAACAAAAAAAAAAAGAATGAACTGCTATTAGTGTGATCAAAATAATCAAAAAAAAAAAAAAAAAATGATTCTCACTTGATAAATGGACAATTGCTAAATTAACTCAGGATAATATTGTTGCAAAACTAACTAATGATAAATGTTGAACAAATCTTTAATCGTTAATAATTATATTATTAAAAATGAATGAACAAAATTAAAATATAAAAAGCACCAGACAAAGTTAGTGATAAAGCAATGATCAGATGAATTCATCACATTAACTTAACTTAAAAATTAGTTTAATCTTACTACTTCTCTTTTAGACCTCAAAAAAAATTTTTTTCTTTTTAATATTTTTTGACGAAACTATATTTGAAAATATTGTCTCCTATCATTCATATACCTCTTACTATATAGTGAATTTTATTTTTCATGGAAATAATAGGCAACACATAGACTATATGCATTAAGCATAAATCATATTTGATAGTAATTTAATGTTTCCACTCAAAACTCTTTATAAGGCAAGAATTTGCCCGATAATACAAGTGATACCCGATCACCTTGTTCATTTTTTTCACGTGCAACAGTTAGGTTAAAATCAATTGCACTCATTATACCATCACCAAATTCCTCCACAATTAGCTCCTTAATTGTAGGTCCATACACTGCTATCACCTTAATATTTTATCAGAAATTAATTTTATCATATGATCATTTAATTCTTTCTTTCTGTCATACTACAAAAAATCTTTAACTTCTACTACTTCTCATATAGATTTCCCTATTAAAATTAACAGGGTATGTACTGATATAAGAATGACCCATTAAGCATTTATCAGAATGATAATGAAATTTCGTTCAAATCACTTCTCTTAGTACCTCCCAGTCTCCTCTAGCAATAACATATGGAATGGCCAAAATTTTTTTTTCCTTTATAAGTAAATAAATTTGTGAGTAAAGAAGTAAGTATATTTTGTTAGGAAAAATGTGAAATAACCTCATGTAATCGATAAAGAATTGGATCGGAGGGAATTCCCGGTGTCCCCTTCTGAGGAACTGTTTGAAGCCATAAGAGAGCACTTTCCGGCAAATCAAATATCTCGGCAACTTTTTCTGCCTGTTCCTTCGACATGACCATTTGACCTAAGCATGCTGCAGTTGTCCATTCTTTGCTTTTGCCAATTTTCTCCGCTACTGATTTCCATGTGACACCTTTTTGAACTTTTGTTGCCAAAATAAGATTTGTTACGTCCTGTCGAGATTTCATCACTTCGACAGAGATAATTCTAGAAAATATGGAAAATACCACTTAAATAAAAAGGAAGACAATATATTTGTAAGCTGAAATTTACGCTTAAGGCCAAATTGATTCTGAACTGCGCTTATAAAAACTGCATTACTATTTGAAATTTTTTAAGTACTTCACCTATCGTTTGGTGCTACCCAGATTGAAATTTCTAGTGTCAATTTAAAAAATAGAGTTTTTGGATGAAAAATCATTTTTGCTATGTTAAAAATTAAAACTGACGAATAATCATCGTATATTTTCACGTAATTGCAAGCAAAATAAATGATTAAGTAAAAATCATTCAAATTTTTTTTTTTTTTTTACACAGCTATAATAAAAACTAAATTCAAAAAGCGAAAACGCAAAACAAAAACTGATAATAATAATGAAAGTGAAACAAATATATGGATAATAAATAGCATACTAAATACTCAAGTGAAATCAATTACCCGGATCCTTCCAGAACATTTGCAATGCTACGTCTCATTCTTTTAGCAAAGTTGATGTGAAATTTAATGGGTGACGATTTAGCAACAGGGAACAATAAGCAGAGCAGAGAGGAAGCGCTAGAGTAAAATGAAATTCACAAATGAGCAATTTTTGTGAGATGGATTGGATATATTTTAAAAGAGCAAGATATTTTTGTGTAAAGTAAAAGGAGATTGAAAGGAAATGAATTTTAAGAAGTTGTTTGCTACTGATTGAAATGTTTTTGAAAATTTTTTTTTTTTCTTATAATTCGAATTTTGAAATGATAACTAATATTGACAATAATAATGCTAGTTGAGATTAGAAATGAAAGGTAATGAAAATAATATGTGATGTAAGCAAAATTTAAAATAACAATAATAAGTTATTGTCGATGCTTTCTTGTTAAATCATCAAAAAAAAAAAAAAAAGGAAAAGGGAAAAGGAAAAGGAAAAAGGAAAAAAAGAAAAAAGAAAAGAAACATTAATGGTGAAAAGAGAAGATTGTTAATCATTTAGAAATATTTAAAAAAATAAATCATTTCTGCTTTAGGTTCTATTAATCTTCGCTGTTTTTATTTAAAAGAGTAATTAAGGAAGCATCAAAATAACAAACATAAATAACATTCATTACTAAAATGTTCCCAAGAAACGGATTTATATCCGTTTCTTTCGTACCACTGCCACATCACTGAATGTAATAAAAAGAAAATCAACTCATTTCTATTCCTGAGTGGCAAATTAATTTTTCAAAAAATAATAAACTGCTCATTATGCCATATGATTGATTTCATTTAAAAAAAAACGAAAACACTTAATACTTTTCCCAGTTATTAAAGCTGAAATTCATTATTGATAGGAAAAAAGTAAAGGATGCAAACATTTTACGATTTCTCATTAAGAAATTTCAATGGATAAGTCTTTAATATCTTATACGAAGTGCATTTGCGTGAGAAGTTAATAAGTGATATTTACCTGATATTGCTACTACTACTACTACTACAAAGATATTAAATGCATTATTAAAATTAAAATAACAGCTAGAAATCATGTTATGGATTAGTGAATAAGAATTGAATGATAGAGAAAATGAATTTTTTTTTCAAAAGGGTTAACTTTAACAATTGAACATACATCAAATGATCAAATCTAATATTTACTTGAATACGCATCTAAGTCATCTAAGTCAAGCATCTAAGTCATCTAAGTCAAATACTCACTTGATACTCTTAAGTGAGATACACACTTGAAAACGTCAAATGACTAAATTTTTTCTTAGTCTGAACGCATCAGATGATTAAATGTAAAAAAAAATTTTGATAAGTAAGAATACATGCAACAAATCAATCTACCAGAGCTTTTTCATCTGAACGCATATGATTCATCTTTTAAAGCAAAATAACGTAAGTGTATAACTTAAGAGTTATAGTTAGGTTTTTGTTAGGTGTAAAATGACTTGCTTGATTACTGTTCTTCGATTTCTTTACATCAAATATTTTCTTTTTTTTCGTCTTTTTGTCCTTCTGCAATTTTCAGATTGCACTATTCTTCTTTTCCTCTGAAAAATTGTTTTCATATTTGACAGATTTTGTTTCAATTTACAAAGATTAAACTTTTTTTTTTTTTTTTTTTTTTTTAAAAAAAAAAACACCTTTAAACAAGTAAACTAACAAACGATATATGATAAAGTAACACCTGAACAAACAGAACTAAAAGGTAAATTTCGAAAGTTTCTTAAATTTTATTTTATAACTGACATTTTGCATTTAAAAGGAATATTCAGAATTTATCACATGCATACATGTCTGCGCGTATGTTTCTGTTGTCCGTGTATGTCTTTATATATATATATTTATGCATGTGTTACCTTTATATATATATATATATATATATATATATTTATGCATGTGTTACCTTTGTCCTTACATATGTGTGCGTGTATGTGTATGTGTATGTGTATGTGATGTGTGTCATACTAGTAATCATTAATGATGAAGTCACATGCGTAAAATTTTGATTTTTTGCAAAACAAATTGCGAAAAAAAAGAAAAAAATAGGTCTATTAAAACTTTCAAGTACTTTCTTTCTAATTTATTTCAAATTGACATACACAAAAAAGAAAATAAAAAGAAAAAAACGAGAAATATTAATATTTTCTCAACTACTGACAACTTCTATAGCTTTTGTTACTAATAATGAAATGATGATTTAAATTCGAAATGAGCAAAAAATTTTAATCACTTAGAAAATAATGCTGATAGTTGTAGGCCAATGTAATGCTATCTAGAAATGCAAGCCTTATCAACGTAGTACTGATCCAACTTCTAATTATTCATCTGAGATGCTGAGTTATTTCATATCGGCCCGGCACTTTGCGGAATGTTGCATTTTTGTTAGTGGATGAGCTGGAGCTTTTTACACTTTCTCCCTTCTCTTTACTTGTTTCTAACATTGTATTTAGTACGATGGTAGTGATAATAATGTTGATAATGATAGCGATGATGATGGTAGGACCTGCATTAAACTTTTAAAGATTGTAATATTTGTTGGTACATGCTAAAAATTCGGTAGTCCACTTCGTGTCATTATGTACGATGTCTTTTCATTTCTCCTCCCATCATCATTTCCGTCTACCTTCAAATGACACTTTCTTTTTAACCCTTACATACTCACTCATCACCGATCTCCGTGTAAGTTTTGTGTCAATGAATGCATGACATATCTTTGTTCCGTCATCTCGCAACATTTTCGCTGTTTTATACTATCGTTTAAAGACATAAATGGAGCTGCTTAAATGCATAGAGAGTAAGTAAGCTTAATTAGCGTTATGGTTGGGCTATTTCGAATGTATTGCAGTAATGTTCATAAGTGTGTGACGTAGTAGTCGAAGTTAACTGAGATCTCGTGCTTGATTCTTGTATGCAATAAGTGCTGTTGTTACGCATTAAGTAGTTCTGTATGTTCTATAAGTGTTTGTTACACGTGAAATGTTGTGCATAGTTTTCACAAAGCTGGCAGGCTACTTTAATTACGCTATTTTCAGGCTGTTTAGCATGTATTAATGTATATATAAATATTATTCCTCATTAGATTTGTCGTCACAAAGGAATCGTCACTGCAGAAACGTCTTTCCCAAAAAAGGTTACTTTACTTGCCTTCCAAAAATAATGTCTTTATGAAAATATTGATGTTGTCATAGACGTGCTGTAGAACAGGTGGCGTAGTCTTCTAGAATTAGTCAGACTAAAACCACTGCTCATTTTTCACTTATTTTCAGAAAATTACCGTTCTATTACTACTAGTTTACTTATCGCGACAAGTTAAGTCTACTGATTTCGTGTCCTTTTGCTTATTTATAATCGCTTAACATGGGTTTATGGTTTGTGTTTGGTGCAGTTTTTGCACTTGCAAGAGCAGAACAAGTCGATCCACTCACTGATAAGGATCATTTCAAGGTTTTTTTTTCTGCCATTTTGTTTTTACGCTTATAGTTTCCTCACTTTCAAGGTCACTTCTGAGTTGATACACGTGCTTGTTAAGCTACAATTCTCTTTAATTTGGTCTTCTTCAAAGTCATTATGATTTTAAGGCTGGTGGACATGATAGCAGATTTGACCATGAGGCATTTCTCGGTAAAGATACTGCTGAATCAAAGGATGTCGTAAGCAAAGAACGTCTTGCGTAAGTATTTGATAACCGTTACTATTGGGACATATAGATTTGTTTGAAGATTTTGTGTATTACACTCGCAATGATAAAAGCGTATTGAGGATAGTCGAAAAACGGAGATATACAATGCCAGTTATATGACGTTTACTCAGATCTGTTTTTAGAAATATAACATGTCATTCACTCATTCATGGCTTGATCTGACGAATGATGATTTATCAAGGAGTATTGACTTATGCTTGCTACCACAAACGCATCGGTGGCTGAAAACACCAATGCGGGATAGGCAAGTCCTGTTGTAAAAAACACGGCGGAAGGTTACACTGGGTGGTGCTAACAGCGGATTGATTTTAATACGTTGTTTTTTTCCAAAAGGCAAATCCTACGCTCGTTCTCAAATACAGTAGCAACGCTACGAACACGGTGTTGTTGCTGTTACATTTCGAGAAATAGAAAGATGACAAGAGGACATCATAATCGCTGCAAGATCTTCCATACGCCTGTTTTGCTCATGGTGATAAATGCTTTGCTTGTCATCTGAGCTGAGAAGAGAGTGGTGAACCTGATATGTTGGTCTACACGCTATCCACGCTTTCTCAGTTCTTTGTGTTCGTTGAAATTTTGTGCTAGATTGACCCACAACTTGTTCTGTTGTCTTCCGAAACATGATGAACATGAGCTTTCAAGAAGAGAACCTAGATCAGTGGATTATTTTCATCGAATGAATTTTTGGATTTCATTGATGAGTACCCTAAATATTCTACGAAAGACTGCTGGAATGCTGATTTTTGAAAGTCATAGTGCTGCATAGGAGGGGTCTGTGGGCTGATCTACAAATCTGGTTTGAAGGTTAGTCTGGAGGTCGTCTCTTAGTGTAGCAATTACGAGATTGCTAACTTTGAGCTTTTCTCATGGAGTGTCACCTCTTTTAGGTTTGGCCTGAAAGTTGAATTTGCTTGCATCTTGGATGCACTAAGATGTAGTAATCAGGTACCAGTGTTTTATCGAGGATGAATTCAGGTTGTTTTTAAGTTGTCTTTTTGTTGAAAGATGCTGTTTGTGATCGTGAGCTGCTGTTTTGCGTAGAACTCTAGTAGGACGGGCCATTGTCGAAACCAATTTCCAGCACCATGTTTGCTTAATAGCCCTCCTCACGGCAGATATCAGTGTAGAATTTTTTCTCTGCTAGGTATGCTTAAAGAGATGGAGCACATAGCTGAAAAAGATAAGTATGTTGCTTATTGTGTAGGAGGCATAAGGAGACAATACGATCAGAATGAGCTGTTGACAAGTTTATAAGTTTGTATACGATCGAGTTCTTGATTATGAAGCCGAGTGTCTAGTGGGTTTTCTTCTGGTTTACCTAAGCAGAGCAGTGGTATCATTTCCTTTGAGACTGCTTTCTTCATGTAAGCGAGTTTTACTGAAGGAAACAGTGTCGGTATGGATTCATGCCAGTAGTAGAATGACGCTCGAGGCGTCCACTCTCCGCAGTATCAAACATAATTCTGATGTTCCAATATGTCAGAGTCGGTCAGAACACATCTGTGGAGACAAATATATGCCGTTGTTTCTTATTTTGGTTAAATGACAGCAGAAAAAGCTCGCTAACTACAACAGTTAGCCAATCGGATAAAATGTGGAAATGAGCTTTAGTTATGTTATATTTTCCATGTTCATGGAGCAGTTAGGGCTGTCCTTGAAAAAAGTCTGGTCATCAACAAGACCATTTCCGGGGGTAGTCTCGAGCGACCAAAGTCTTGACTCGCCTGCATGCAGGGTTGGGTCTGCAGCCTTCAGTACACCTTACATCTGCTATTTAGCCCCTCACCATTGCTGTAGGGACTTGTGAAAACGAGATATCTTTCCAACTCGCATAGCGGTCTTTACGAGCTCAGTATGCACGGAATTACTACCATCTTTTACATCTGATTTCATCTGTTAGGCCAAGCAAGCTTGGATTGTGGTAGCGACATTTTCAAGTGTAAGTGTGCTCGTAGATGACTGACGAGTGGCCGGGATAAAGTCAGACCTATCCTTCAAGGATGATTGTGTAAAGCCATTGAGCCCATTTTACATACAGACACTTTGTCTGATCCTTCAATTGAAACCTGTTCCGCCTGGGAAGTCTTATTGGAGGCATATGCTACCTCCAACTATGGCTCGCAACTTCACAAGAGCACGCAAACTCCTTTCCTATGACAGGACTGTTGCGGGAACATAACATGCATATAAATATTAAGTAGCATGTTGAGCAGTCTGACTCAAATTACCTTAGTAAGTATATGAAATTTTGCAACTTGTAATAAAACTGAAGTTTCCAGGAAATTAGTTGCGAAAATGGATATAGATGGTGATGGCTTCTTGGAAGAATCTGAATTAAAAGATCACATTGACTTTATGCAAAAGCGATATGTTAATAACGATGTTGATCGGACATGGAAAAATTATAATGTAGAGAAAGTTAAGGATGGAAAAATCTCATGGAAGGATTACATGTGAGTTGATGTTAGTCCTTGCAAGGTGCAATTCTGTCACTGTCGTAGTTGAGACTTAATGAAATAAAATGTTGAATTTTTAGAGAAATGGTTTATGGAACAGTGGGTGAAGGACAAGAACTAAGCGCTGAATATCAAAAGATGATAATACGTGACGAAAAAAGATGGAAAAAAGCTGATTATGATTCAGATGAAATGCTTGATCGAACCGAATATGGTTGTTTTATGCATCCTGAGGACTGCGATCACATGCGCGATGTTGTCGTTCAGGTGAATGGAGAGTAGCAAAAGAAAGTTGGATTAAAGATCACTTTAGATGAACTGTCATACAAAACTACCCGTATTATATCAAACTTATGCATAGTTTGTGATCACAAAACTCTGTTCATGTTTTTTAATTTTGTTATTTTCAGGAGACACTCGAAGATATTGATAAAAACAAAGATGGATTTGTGGACCTTGACGAATATATCGGTAAGCTCACTACCATACAATGCATAATGTTCATAGAAATAGCTGATTAGGTAAAGATAATTCTTGTAATCCTTTTCCTATAGATCTTTGTGTTAACTCTGAAGACATCTGTTTTCACAGAGTAATAAGTTTTTCACTTCTACACCTGACATGCCTGAAGTTCTAGAGAGGCAATATACCAACTTTTACCATTATAGGTGACATGTACAGGCCAGAAGACTACCCAGAATTGGACGGCAAAGAGCCGGAATGGGTTGCCAGTGAACGGCAGATGTTCAAGGAGCATAGGGACAAAGATGGTGACGGCAAACTGGATCAGGTATTACTAGAAAATATCTTCTTAACAAGCTTTGCACTTTCTTTTTGCATAACGAATTATTGCTACTCTATTTTAGAATGAAATGAGGGATTGGATAATGCCTATAGGTTTCGATCATGCTGATGCAGAAGCAAAACACCTAATCGGTATAGCCGATGAAGACAGAGTAAGTTCAAGACGTGCTTGTGAGATTTTGTCAAATATTATAAATATTACTGCTTTCATTTTACCTTATCACAAATTGAACAGAAATTGTAGAAATAAAGATTTAGTCCTACTCATACCTTAATGGGATAACTTGCAGCTTGACAAGATTACGTGTGTAAGGAATGTGTGGGTTAGAATGGCTCACTAACTTTGCAAACGTTTGGGTTCTCATTCTGAAATACTGCATTCCCTATGTCTATCATTTTTGCAGGACGGAAAGTTATCTCTAAAAGAGGTTCTGGATCATTATGACACATTTGTTGGATCACAAGCAACTGATTATGGCGAACAACTAAACAAACATGATCCTGCGGAACTTTAAATAGGTAATGAAAGTGACGGCTAATTTGATACGTCCATACTTCTTTGAACTTGAATTAATGTGTGACCACTGTTATTTGCTAAAATGCTCGTCTACTTAACTTATGCGTGAAACTTCATATTCGATATGCACTGCAATGATCAGTAACATGCTCCGAAATCTTCTCGTAACCAAAAGAATTGCAAGGAGAATTTTGGTTGATGTTCACCGTAGTGTTGATATATACTATTTACTCGCTGCTTTATATTTTGTTACTCATTTTAAGCTAGTGTTACTACTCTTTAAATTTCTATTTTCCAATATTATGTGATAAATTCAATTTTTTATATGACAGTTTAGCTTATTATAAGTGAATTGGTTAATTGAATATAACATGCATTCTCATATAAAAAACAAATCACTCGGAACCAGAGAAAAATCAAAGACCAGAAATGTGGTATTTTTCCGGATAAAACTAAACGACTAAATATCTCGAAAATAGAATCGATATATACATGGAGTATTTTAAACAAAGCGACACCAACAATATCACATCAAATTCGCACGCACTTTCAAAATCGTGTCGGTGCAAAAGAGTAACCAATACCAATACTATTGCAATCAAATGAGTACATGATAACCAAGAAATATCTTGATTCAAAAATATGCTAAAGGAAACCTTAGCATTCTCACCTAGGCATTTATAATTCACTAATCCCAATTTCTATTATTTAATACATGGAGCACTAACAAACACGACACATAAACTCATGCAAAACATCGGAAAGGAAAATTTCCGGAAGAATATCAGCATGTTTGCGAGTAAGGCTTGTACATCAATGCGGTTGTCGTCGGATAACCACCCCAGCTGCCACTTTTTGATGACGGGAACTGCTGAGGACCGTTGGATCCATTACTGACTTGTGCTATCTGATGACCACATCCGTGATATAGCATTACTGGGCGTACCAACTTCAATACATTAACTTTAATAGTGCACAGCGCACTCAAACGTTGAAGATATGAGCAATCCAGGGAAAGCATTTAAAATGTCAGCAATATGTTCATAAGCATAACACTCAGAATAAACTTGTTACCTGCAATGTGTGTGAGAGGGCGGATAGCTCCTTACTCTCCAGAAGATCATACATTTTAGCAATAGAATACATGTGTGCTACAACCAAGCCGTATTGAGACCGTAAATTCAAAGTAGCGAGCTGTTCCCAGTGATTGGTGTATAGGTGTCCGCAACTATGCCAGAGTAATCGTATTAAACGACGGCAATGATTTTCAAAATTACTCGGAAAGGCAGATCCTGATGTTCATTATTACAAATATTATAAGAGTTAACAGAACTGAAAACTTTTAAGTTGATATTAGGGCAAAAAATAGTTCTATTTCTTTACACATCCCCATATACTTGTGAGTATAGAGTAGTTCTCTGTTATACCAGATTTTTTTTTTTTTTGCAATTCGGGCATAAGTTGAAAGAGCGTATAAATTCAAAAATTATACGCGTAAAAAAAGACACAATTTATACTTCTCTTCCTTTTTACAGATATTATAGTTTTGGCATATAATAGACTTTTCGTGACTAAAAACACCTCGAAACCTTACCATATTTAGTTGGGTAAAGTCGCTCATCTTTTGCGCTTTTTTCGCAGAATGATAATACACAATCGATGTACTGCATAGCTGAATATAGGTGATGTTTCCTCCTTTCATCAATCCAGTGTGCTTTCCTGCAACTTTCTTTGCAGCAATTATTTTGCAATTTTGTTTGAAGTTTGCTCCATATATTATTTAAATTATAGGGAAGCAAAACCTGAAATGTTACCCTAAGGATATTTATATAGCGAATTAAAAAAAGTGCTGCATCTAAGCAGATTCAATTTGTTACATTAAACAATAATTTTTAATGCGTTTAAATTAAAAGTATGATTGTGAAACTTACGGAACACCTGGATAGGACATAATAGGACATGAGACCGGTGTACACACTTCTGATATCGTTCCACACAAAGCATTTACATTCTCGAAAAGACATAATGCTGAAATATGTTCTTGTTTACAGAAATTTAGCTAGCAGTTCGTAAAGTCATAACTTTTAGGTTTAAATTGTTTATCAGTACAATTCAACCTTGAGTAAATAAAATAACCATGTAACTTACTGTGTGTAGCTAACCACTCATTTTTATCCATTCCCTGAGGTAGCTTTGAAAGTCGCCTAATCATCTGCAAAAAAGAAATTATTTTCTATCTCCTGAAAAAAATTATTTTTCTATTTTCCTATTTCCCATCTTCTGTTTGGAAATCGTATGCTCACACATTGTTTCTATCGAAATATAGAAATTCCACATGTTCAATGAATTTAACCATTCCAAGAAGATATTCGTAATGGATGAAATGGTATCAAAATAAACAACACCTACTTCATCATCGAAAGAATCACACACGCCCATTTCAGATAGTGCTTTACGTTTACAATTTGGAGCATGGATGTATGTAGTGGCATTTTTCCCTCCATTTGATGACATGCGTCGTGCTGAACGACATCTTTCATTCACACCTTTGCGTCGCGATCTCCTGGAACTGATTTATATCTATTTGGCTCCATATTGAATTTATATGTCTTCTAAAAAAAGTATCCTAAACCCATCTATTCATATCGAAGAATAGGATTTTCAAAACATGCACATTCAAAATAACCAAAATTGATCTGCTCCCAGAAGAGAAACGCTTCATTTACCACACTCAAACAAACAGTTCTGTTAAAAATCGGATCAATCTGATCAGATCAAAAAGTTGAACGACTGGGCAAGATTAGCAACATATTAGAGGAAAAAATCTGTTCGAATAAGTTAATATCTATTTCACTTTAATATAAGACTAGTGGATGATCAATTCTGCAGAAGTCAGCCCCAAATTATTTGTGAATGATTCAAAGTATAAACTGCGAAAGACTAATGAGCTGTAATAAGATCGGACAAGAGATATTAAAAGAGTGAGATAATAATTGCTTGTACTATCCGAAATATACATTTCCAAGATCATCTGGAAAAACTACTGCATGCAATTTGACACTGAGCCACCATCCCTTCATGTGCAATCTCGATAACGCACTAATATGAGTCAAACTCAAAAAAAAAAAAAAAAAAAAAAAAGGAAAATTGGGCCTGTAGTTTTATGCATCCATTCTACTCTACATAAACAACAAATGGGGGAATAAAGTAACAAAACTGAACTCACATTGCAAATGAGATGATATTAGAGAGGAATATTTTAGCAAGGCAACAACCATCCTCGCTCACATCTTTAGATGAATGTCTTGATAATGTGCTTCGCTTTGCATGTGACTGCGATTTCACATTTCCAGTAGATACTCCAACTGACCCACTTCCACCAGCTGTTTCTGTGTTCGGATATTTTTCAGTCAATATCGACGTTACCTCCATAGCTACACCTAATTAACAGGACATTTATTAACAGCACTTAGCTATTACAAAGCAGACTTTCCGCTAATATCATCCTACATCTTTAATGAAGTCTGTTGCAAAACATCCCCATCATTCTGAACTACGCAATATTCCTTTTATACCATTCTTATTAATTTCTCACTCCTGCATAACTGATCACTGATAGCTATTACACTTGCTGCTCCACTTTTCTTATGACGGGCACAATTCGGCTGGTTCCTGACCTACATTACATAATTAATGGAACGTGTCAATACTTCTGAAAGTGCAACGACTTCTTGTCAACAAAGTGCCAATTAATACAATTAGGAGAAAACCTTGTCATTTGCACGCAGTTCCACGCTTATCAATAAACTGTAAAGGTAAATAGAAGTTGTGTTGTTTTTCACATTTGTTTACTACCTTCGAAAACGCTCAAAACGCCCCCTATAGCAGTCACCTTTTCACTTAATCATACTTTACGCTCATCATGCAAATAAAAAATGAGATACGACCAGTTGCAAACGGAAAAATCGATATCCACGTAAAAACCATCCCAATCGATTAGAACTGACCAAATTCATAGCGAAAGCATATGGAAAACAATCTCAAACAAATATGGAAAAATGCAGAACTGGAAGAGCTGAACATGGCTTGCACCGATTGGTAGCACCAGCATCACCAACTTTTTTTTTACAAGCACAAAAAGTACCAACCCTTCACACTCCTTTTCTTCATGTAACTTTCTGAATGTGAACCATATGAAATACACCAGATTTAATACTCGGTTATTGTGTGAATATTATTAGACAATCAGTGATCTTGGAAACATCATATAATTTGGTGCTGGAGATGAACAAAGAAAAAAACATTATCAGCTTTTCTGCCGACGTTAGAAAATGCAAATTTTCGTCATTTCTTTACGTACTGATATAAAATATATTCATCTCAGACAGTTAAAAAGTTATGGTGCAGAAAATAATTCTAGATAATTGAATAACTGAAGATTAATTGAAATAATTGAAGATTTAGATTTAAGAAAAAATAATTTTCAATAAAAAAACTGTAATAAAAAAAATTGAACTAATAGAAAACAAATAAAAAATTGAATATAACTTCGTGATTTTCTACTGTTCCATTCTGACCCTTTCCGTTCTAGTTCCTTTTTTTTTCTTTGCTTTCAACTGCTCAATCTATAAGGGAAATTATAACCAATATAGACCAAGGACAAGAGATCCTACATTACACCCAATCAATAAGCGACAACGCTTTTCGTTATAAGATTGAACACAGTAACGGAAACCAAGATCCTACTTTTTCACATCCCTACACCTAAATCATGATGAAAACGTGACGGACAGTTACACTTACATCTTAGGTACACGAGTCTTCGAACATAATTTTGGCTAATTATTGGAAAGATTACACATCAACTACATTGATCCTGGAATAAGAACAAGAAAAAGGGGAAAAAATGTGGATGCTATTCCACGAAGATCTGGGAGGCAGCCATATTTCTGATTTTTTTTCTAGAGTCCGACTACTTCCCAGAAAGTTTTTAGAAAAACCTATCCACGCCAACGATGAGAATTTCTGTCAGTAAATGATTTGCTTCACATAATTTTCATTAAAGAAGGATGGGAGATGAGAAATTAAAAAAACTGTTGTGATTCAATTAACGAAGGATGAAAACGCAGGAACGGTTATATTAAAAGAAGGTTAAATCAATTATATTAAAATTATGCTGTTGTTGTTCCAGCCAAACAGAAGTAAGGTAGTGAAGTAGTGAGAAATAAGAGCAATCATTAATGTAGTTTTGCATTTTTAGAATAGCGAAGTTGACTTTTCACATGATAAACTATGCATAAATATTGAATAATAGTACGTCAACAAAGCTCAAATAAGAAAATAAGAAACAAAATTAACAGGTCGTAATAATTACACTGATGTCCCCTTAGCGGTTAATAGTACAGCTTGTGAGAGTGAAGTGAAATGGTTCTTCACAACACTGAAAGTAGAAATACTCCAACCGTCCTCTTCTCTCTGCCTTTATCATCATTCGAAAGAACAGGAACAAATAAGAACCAAAGAAAAAAATTGCTTGCAGTAAGAGGAAATTATTAAATACATTCCATCAAAAACTAACGAATAATAGTAATACCATCGTTTCTATACAACACTGATCTTAATATTTCAGTGAGAATGGTGGGAGGGGACTGTCACCAGCGATCGTTCACCTGAGAATACACTTCACAAACACAAACACATACACATACATACGCACAACCCAGTAAATCAATCCTCCATCTCTCGCAACTGGGAACAGTGAAATATGAATTGTCATATGTGCAACATACATCCGGTACTTGTGACAACAACAGACATGCCACTTTGCATCACAAAAATTAGGAAATTTGATCTGGTACTTTCGATACTATCTCAATACACAATGACTAGAAATGGATGGTTTACCTAAAGGATGTTCACCTTTTCTACCTACTATATACCACTGTTTCCCATCTTCATATCTAAGATAACGAATTTCGCGATTCTTGTTTTTGCTATTCCGGAAGTTCGATAGTTATACCTGAACAGTATTTAACCCCTGTCTATTACAATTACAAGAGTAAATGAAGCAACATCTTATGATGGGCTCCCCAATCTGTTGCGAAACCATTAAGCTTCGTATTACTGCATATCCAACAAACTTCAAATAACGGTCACTAAATCCAACAAATTCATAGAAATTCAACAAGCTATACAACTGTCAGTATCATTCTATGAATTTCAAATTTCACAACATCTATCCTTTACCTATACTTTATTTTAAAAATTTCCGAAAATTTTCAACTTGGCTTAGGCCGGTAATGATTCTCATCCTCTATATATTTAGTCCTTGCTAAAATCCATAAAGAATTCTTTCGCACTTCTTATACTGTATTTTTATGGAAAAAATTCATCGGTTTGAAGGTTGTCAGACTGCTAAGATCAGTTAAATATAAACATTAAAGCAAGGAAACATACAAATTGTTGGACAAGATTTCTGTAGTTTTATGCAAGAATGTGAGTGCTTAAGGAAGTGAGTGGTACGGAGAAAAAAGGAAGGATAAAAGGGAAAAATGGAACTTAATTAATGTGCAGAGAAGTAAGAATAAGCATTCAACTGATCTATAAGCAAAGTTTTTACAAGTTCAAATTACTAAAATACTTGTCTATGAAGTAAACCAGTCTCTTCTAGAAGATTTGACACGAATCTGATGTGGAGATCAAATTACAAGTAGACTAATTTACAAAATCAATAAACGGAGAGCTATAAGCAACTAATGTTACTCACATAAATTTACTGCAAGAAGCACTTTACTGATATCAGTTAGCGATGTGAACAAAACAATGTAAAAAATAATATTACACGTATAAGTAGCGCACCTGTTAACAACCCAAAGATTACGCCAAACCCACATAATCCCCAAAAAAACCTTAACATGGAATTCTTTATCGAAAATATTAAGACTTACTTGGTTATCCATTCCACTGTATCACGAAGATAATCCGGAAGAAGCCGATCAAAGCGGCTATTGATTTTGTTAGATGCCAGTGTAACTGACGAGTTTGACCATTCAAAATAAAATATACCGGTTATCCAGTGTTTGCATTCGTTTGCATTAACTCTCACCAAACTTCTGGCGGATTCGGTAGAAATAAGCTGAACATACAAAGAATTAAAGTACATACATCGAGTAATCTATTCGAACTACGACAAGCGATAATCGTAAACGTCCCTAGTCCTGGCTACAAAACAAAAAAAAGAAAACCTCATAAAGAATGTCACCAAATTACGGGAAGTCTTGAACGAACCGATATCCCGGATCAATAACGAGAACAAACTACACAGACGCATTAACAGGACTACAAAGGAACGGATAGAATCCGAGCCATTCCATCGGTAATTTGCGGATCTGTTGCTATGCAATTCATTTCATGTTGAATTGAAAAATTGTCTTGAAGAGTGAATGAAGCTAAGGCGGTAGTGTCCATGGAACAGCGCACATGTCTCAATACCATAAGTGGGAAACACATTATTAACCATCACTACCCGAAGCATTGGATGATGACCTAATGAAATGTTATGGGTGCGAATCCCCAGTTCAAAATCATATGCGGGAATTGCGCATATGAAGTACGTCTGAAGTAAGCTTGACGAGTTCTTTTTTTCTACGATAATTTTAAGGGAAACATAATCCTGGTGTTAGTATTTCTTTACAAGTTTTTCCAAGAAGAACTTCACAATGTTTATGATGAAATAAATCACTGCTTATATGCTTTGGAATTTTCCGGGATGCACCTATCGACATCTTTTCACTGCTATTCCTTTTACGGTCACTAGATGTATTCGTTAGGATGTAAAATGATCATGCTCTGTTTTCATAAGAAGAGAATTCATCTAAAGCTTTTTTGGTATTATATTGGAGAGTTTTATGAGATATAAGAAACAGGGAATGATCTCATTTTTGAAGAATTTTCTGATTGAATAAAAGATACTATCTACCATCTCCGATATAGCTGTATTTTTTCTCTTTCTTTTTTTAACTTTAGTATAATTCATCAAAGTTATGTTTTTTTTTTTTTTTCTCTCTGTTCTAAAAGAATACTTTCATTCATTATGCTTCCTCAGAGATCAGTAGAAATAATTTCGGTGCCACTGATTCACTCATTTCCCTTCTCATCGTCACATTTTTTTATCACTTTTTTTTTTTTCGATGGATTTCGAATAGAAGAAAATTCGGTGATACTTCTTATCATAAATGTTAGTGACATTTGACGGTGATTGTTTTCAAGTAAGAAGTGCTAATACATAGGAAAACAAAAATTCATGGAATGTTTTGGTGTCCTAACATCCTATATAACGAAGAAAATCGAAGCATTGTTTGTAATCAGTAGTAGAAGTAGCTAGGCTAGAATTGCTTATGGGAAAGCCTAGCTATATTGAGAGGAGGAGAGAAGGCCTAAGGCCGATAGCTTCAGAGTTCTGACAATGTGAGTTGCTTTGAGGTTCTTTTGATCAATTTGTGCGAATATGTACTTCCCATGCTGGAGCAGATTGAAGAGGTCTTTCTATGGCAAGACATTTTCCACTTCTCTTTTAAAGTATATACATTATCACGCTTCACTAGATTATCTTAGCCTTTTTTTTTCAATTTTATCGAAATGAAAGTTTTCAATTTAACAACTGATAAACTAATGGTCTAAATTGGAGTGCGGATATGTCCGGATGTACAGATGAATCACTTACATGACCCCTAGATTGTTGTCGCCGCTCTGCAATTGTATTTTATTGAAAATCATCTTAAAAAAATAATTGCATGTTTTTTTTAAAAATAGTTTTTTCCTGAAAACAGGGAAGAAGCAAAAGGAATCACTTAAAACAATAAAAATTGGCTTAGCATGTAAAGAATATTTTGTTGATGTGAAATTTTTTATTTATCACTCAGTCCAGTACTTTTCTAAATTCTCATTTAGCTATATTTTATTATGGAAAAATATTTCTGTTTCCACTGCTTAACTTTTTTTAGAAGTCTTTTCACTTCGAAATGCAATTTTCTCCACGAATTTGAGCATTTTTCATAAAATACATAAGGATTTCACTTGAAACATTTGTTATTTCATGAAATCATACCAATAAAAAATTACTCTTACTGTCAATATGGTATAACAAAATAATAATTCGTGTGATGGCTATACAAATCAAAAATATGACAAGAATTGAATTTCTTAGAATTCAGATATAAATGATGGAGAATATTCGAGCATATGGTGCTGGCCTAGCTGGAGGACAATTTCAACTGAGCGTTTTCTTGAGAAAACCGGCTGTTATCTTGCGAATTTTTGCTTTGGTTAGTGAAATGTAGATTTTTTTGTTTGAAAAATATCTACATGATTAAGATATTCCATAAATGAAAATATTGGCGAAATTTTTTAGTTAGCTGACGGTATATGTTAAGATGAAGACAAAACTCTTTGCAGCAATTAGCTGAAAAATGCTAATCTCATTATCATCATCGTCATATATTTTTTGGTTGCTGAATTAAAATCATACATTTCGCAACTTGGAACATTAAACAGTGATAGACATATCAGTGATAGTTTTTTTTTTCTTTTTTTTTTTAATATTTTTACATTTAAGGTTGTTGGTCTTGCACAGTGGATCGCCGTTTCACGTGGTGGTTGGTATACATCAGAAAATGGTGACAAACAAATTTGCCTTTATGCCAATAGTTCATCGACCTGTTCTTTCGGTTCAGCGATGGGTTTTTTTGCTGTTCTGAGTTCACTGGGTTTATTGTTTCTAGATGCTAAATTCGAGAAAATTAGTTCCATTCCAACTAGAAAACGTGCTGTAACCACCGATATGATCCTTTCTGGTTTGTTGACTACTCTATTTTTATTTTTCGATCGCATAGTATTAAACCGTTTTTTATGACTACTACTGAAACTTTTATTAGCCGAGAAACACTGGATACGTTAGATACGATTTTGAAAATCCATTTCTCACATATGAACTTTTCTTCATTGATCGATGGCCAATTGAATGAAGGAGATCAAACTAATTTTTCATTACTGAGAAACTTCTTTAGCCATCTACATTTATTCTTTGTGTTATTTGTTTAATAATTCTCTTCTGAGAAGTGCATAAGGATCCTAAATATCCAAACAATAAGTGAAGTACGGATATTTAAAACATATTAATATTTAAATCTCTAAATTTTAAAGCGAGTTAGAATTCCAAAATATTTTTTGCTTAAATTTCAAATTAATTTGGAAAATATTGCCCAAAAAGAATAAGTCATAATTTTCAGCACTGCTGGCATTCTTATTTCTGATAACTTTTTTTTCGTTATGGTCAAAGTATGGTGAGGTGGATATAAGCAAACCGTACGATGGCGGTATGGCCAAAAGCGCCATTTTATTCGCGTTTCTATCATTCGTTACTTGGGTGGCTTTTTGGTCTTGTTTCACTAAATAGTAGCGAATTATTTTTGTTCCACCACTAGAAGTTTGGATGATATTTTTTAAGTTTAACATAAGACAAGGTTTTGGATGATTAAAGAAAATATCAATTTTAATTTCAGTTGTATCTTTTGCAAACTTCTGCTGTTCCAGTAAACTTTTTTACACTTCTTTAATATCACAAGTAATTGACTTTCATAATGGGAAATTTCATCGATTCTAGGGGGCGGTTACGTTTTTGGCATGGAGACGATACGAAGAAGGTGCAATAACAAATTTCGTACCATCATATGAACAAGATTTCACAACTGGGATACATGCTGGACCAGATTACAGCTATGGTGGAGAAAGCGATATCGGCGTTGCTGGTTAGTTTATTTTGACAAATGAGGCTACTCGAATTATAAATGTTATGTAGTAAAATCAAATTAAAAAAATTGCGAGAGGATAATGGGTATGAAAACTTTAAATTGTATTATGAAAAAACATAAATGACATTTAACACTGTTTTCTCAAATAGAATTGTTGTCACTCAACTGTTGTTCTAAGTAATTTAATGGAACACTGTGCTATATAACTTATACACAGGATTTCATTTATTCTGAAAAGTTTACAATTTGAAATATTTCAGGACAAAGTGAGAGAGGTGCATATCAGAATGCTCCATTTACAGCAATCAATACAGCAGAATCTCCAGTGGATATTACAAAAAGTTATCAGGGATATTAGCTAATTTTTTTTTTTTTTTTTCATTTTTTTTAGCAGAGCAGAAAATGCATAGCTCAAATATGTAAACATCTTTTACTATCATCTAGCATTTTTTTTTTCCTTTTTTGAAATTGTGCCTTATAATAGAAAACACCAGTAACTACTGTTGATCCAGTTAAAGAATAGTTTTAATTTTAGAAGGAAACCATTACATTCGCAGTAAAAAAAAAGGAATTGCTAATCATTTATGTATTTTTTCCATTTACACATAATTGTTATCACTTTAAAAAAAAAAAAAGATTGCATACGATTTTTATATACAAGCAGTTATTCCTGAAAAAAGCAAATTTTGAATCTTTGATGATTTATGACTTATGCATGAATGATGTGTTATAGTATCATTGCTTTAAAGTTCAATATGTATGCTTTTCAAATCATATGTTTCGTTTAGAATTTCTTCTTGCTTCACTTATAGTAAATTGAATCGAGCAAACTATACAGTCGCTCTCATAAACGTTAGCTTAGCTTTTAGGAAAAAGTTTAGAAAATGCAGTTTTTCTCAAAGTTAAACATTTTCTATTTATATTTACATGCAGTTTAAATTAATTTAATATCTTTGTTATAGCCATTATGTCAGATCTTTTCATACAGACAAAAATAGATGATATTCCAGAATTCTGATAACTTTTTCCACTATCTAATATTTTTGCTGAAAAAGAGTGTATTTATCTGTATAATTCTTTACGGGAAATAAAGCATTTATAGAAATCGAAATTATTTTAGAAGTGTCTTTTAATATGATACATATTAAAGGTATTAAATTTAATGGCATCTAAAAGGAAAAAGTTTTAAAAAAAAATGAATCGCCGCAAAATTTGATTATTGTTACTACTTGGCATCAATTGCTTTACGAAAAAGATGTGATAGAATGAGTTAAAAAAAAAAAAAAGAATAATAATAACTTGAAAATTCCAAGTAAATGCTCATATTTTTTAATTTACTGTTACAAATTCTTAATATGATATACACTTTCATTCTGGAATGAAATAAGTATGAATTGAACTATGCAGTAAGACAATTTAGGTGCAATAAAGTAGCATTAGCTTATGAAAATGTAAACATCAAAGAAAAAATATTAATGAAAATAGATTTAAATTATTTTGTATAAAAATATTTTATGATATTGAATAAAAAGAATGATTAGATATAACTACCATATATTTTTATAGCAATATGCCCGTCGTTTTTTTAGTTATTCATTCGTTGAATTATAGAATATATTCCTAATTCTTATTATTATTGCCCACTTTTTCCCCGGATTTATCTTTTTCACTTATTCTCCACTCATTACAACAATGAAGGAAGGAAAGATAGAAGAAAACTGGCTCATAAGAATGATTTTATTACATTGGTAGCCATTGCATGCTACAAAACTCATTCGTCACTTTCCTTCAACTTTCTATCCGTTACCTATTTTGGTCATCTCCCAATCAACCATCAATATCATCGGATATTCTACTTAATACACTGAATGCTAGTGTTGAATTAGTAACTTAAATGAATTTTTGATAGAAGTTTATGTTGCTATCAAGAAATGACTGAGCATTTGCTTTTACTATTTGATGGTTGCTCCCAAAAACAAAAAACAGCTCTGCCAGGAGTGATTTAGAATTGAAGTTAAAATTCTACATGAATGTAGTAGTAAGTAGAAAACTTTTAATTTAAGTAATAAATATTTCTAGTCTTTTATACAAATAACAGAAATTTCATGGATAAATTGATTAAATTTGATTTTTTTCTGAATTCTCATCAAATTGCATGCTTCAGTTTGGTACACTGTTTCGAGATAAAAATGGAGGAAAAGCAAATTTAATAATTTCGAATTTTCAATTGTCAAAGAAGGACAAAAAAAAATAAGAAATGTATTCCCACTAGCATATCTACATTATTTTCTCCCTAATCCTGTTTAATTTTTTTTTTTTTTCGATTAATTTTGATAGACTTAACTTTATTCACTTTCATTTTGCCTATTGTTCGATGAAAAATTCAAGTCAAACTTTTTTTCTTTTTCTAGTAAAACAAAGAATTGCAGATCAAATTAAAATAATTCAGCCAAATGGTTAATGACATTGAACGAATTCGAGAACGTTTATTATATACTGAAAAGCTCAAATATTTGGCATTTTTTGGTGTTGCAACAAGTGCTTTTATTGCAATTGTTTGTGTTATGTCAGCTCCACTACTTTATAATTACAATTCGTTCAGACACAATTACAAACTGAAACTCAATACTGCAAAGTAAGTATAAATCATTATTCATTGATTGATAGTAAGTGTATAATTAGAAGATGATTATATGATTGTATTCTTAAAAGAACTACCTGTGAATCAGTAACAATATTACACTAATAATCGCAGTACACATTGAAATTTCATATCAGATAAATCATTAAATTAACCTTTCTTTTTTTGTTATTATTTTGTTATTATTTGTCTTAGTATGAGTAAATTACTTGACAATTATGATAATGTACTATTGTTATGATTAAATGCTAGAATTATGAAATGAAGGATTGTCTCAGTTATATGGGTTTGATTATATTTCAAGCAAATATAATAGCATAATGACAGAAGAAAGCATTTTCTTTTTTCGTTTCTTTTATTATGCTTAAGTTAATGTTAATAATGAATTTAATTTTAATGCGAAATTAGTATTCTATACAAGTTTGAATGAGAAAACACTTTTCTTTCCACTTTTGTCTTTTTTTAAAATTATTTGCATCGAACATATTTTTTAATATGAAATCTGGAATTACAACCGTGTGTTAAAGAAAATAATATTACTTTCATCTCATTTGCTATTGTTCATATTACAGCGATAAAAAAAAATGAAAATTTTGGTTATAGGATCGATCATTAGAGCTTTTTAAACGATTATCTGAAAGAAATTTGAAACAAAAGCGAGAAGGCAATTTTGATCAAGAAGCGCCAAGTCGAAACAATAGCAGTGCAGCAAGTATGTTAATTAAGTGTTTAATGAAAGATAACACTTAATAACAATATATCAATAACGATAAAGTTACCTTACTACCATTTTGCTTTACATATTTTCTATCAGGTTGTAAATGTGAATATGGACCATCGGGTCCAGCTGGACCAAAGGGTCGCGATGGGAAAAATGGTGTGGATGGGTTACCAGGAAGCAATGGAATACCGGGAATTGATGGTGATGTGATTGTTGCCAAAGGAACTGATTTCTGTTTTGAATGTCCACCAGGTATAATAACTAAAAGTATTTTTTTAAACCATCCGCACATATTGTGTTATTTTCGAATTTCTTATTTGTATGACATTTTTTTAGGAGATGCTGGATCTCCAGGACCTGTAGGTCCTAAAGGTCTACCTGATATACCTGGCGTTCCAGGCTTGAATGCTGATGGTGGTGAACGAAGTCCACCAGGACTACCAGTTTAGAAGAATCATTTTTTTTTTTTGAGGAAAAGAATCTTATTTCCTTTTGAACAACTTTTTTAGGGTTTGCCAGGACAAGCCGGACCTAAAGGACAACCAGGCATTGATGGGCATATCGTTAAGCAACCTGAACCACCGGACTTCCAGGTTTACCAAGCAAGAGAATTCTTATCAGTTAAATTTAAAACAGCGAGTACAACCTATGTTTCTAGCTTATTTTTTTTTCTTCTTTTTTTGAAATATTCATTAAAATTCTTTTGAATTAAAATCTAAAAGTGTTAAAATCTTTTTGAAATTTTGAAAGTTATACAAACAATGAAAGTTTTTTGACCGCAGTTAAGCTATGAAGGATGAAAAACTGCAATATAATATGATGCTTTCAGGACCACAAGGTCCAGTTGGTACTCCAGGAGTTCAAGGTCTACCTGGAATACCAGGACATCAGGTTAGATTAATTTTAATATTTGCTGAACCATTGAGTATTTTAGATTATAATTATATTCATAATGTAGTAATTAAAATTTATGAGCACAGACTGTTTATTGGCTCAAATTACAGGCGAGCAGGATCCACCACGAGATCCTGGTATCCCAGGACTCGATGGTTGTCCTGGTTTTCCTGGAAAAAAAGGTACCACTGGAAAACGTGGACCAAGTGAATCATGTGTCCATTGCCCAAATCCAAGAACAGCACCAGGATATTAATAAAAATAATATAAAAAGTTGTTCTGTTTGCAATGGATTTCTGTTAAAATGGAAATTTATTTCTGATCCATTAGATGAACATTTCGGAACACAGTATTTTAGTGAAATTTGTTTGACGAAAAAATGGACAAATAACACAGTATACTTTTTACACTTACGGTAATTACAAAATACTTATAAATAATACACACTTAAAATTTTTAGGTAGGTCATCTACAAGTAATAAATAACAAGAAATTCGGAATTTTTTAACTGGTTTTTTTTTTTTTTTTTGTCCATTGGTATTTTTTGTAAAATAAAATGCAATTTTTTTTTCTTAGCAAAATAGCAATCGTGTAACAATAAATCTCTGCCAACCAGTTTTCATTTCTGTTTTACAAAGAAAAATATGAAACTGAAAGCATTACCGGAACGCGCTCAAAAAAAAATAAACGACTTAAAAAAAATCAGTAATAAACAGTTTTAACGTTTTAACAGCTGAGTTTGAATTTGAAACTGTTACTGAGAATATGTTTATCGTTTATCGATAGTGAAAGGACGATTCATAATAATCGAAATGAGCAAATAAGATAAATAGCTGCATGATAATAATGATAATAATCACTGGATGTAAGTTAAATTGTGAGGAAATAAAACGATACTTACTAATGTCATTGATAAAGTTTTTATTTTATTAATTTGAAACGGAAATTTTCAAGTAAACTGGTTTCCAGAAATGCTTGCAGTTTTTTGAATTCCTGAATAAAACATAAGCAAAAACTGATTCACAGAGACTATTTGTTGTTGGATAATACGCAACTTAAAAGAAAAAATTTGTTTTACTACGAAAAAAATTGATAAATAGAAAAAAAAACAAATCAAAAAAAAAAAAAAGAAATGATGTATACTATTTCTCCTTTAAAATGATCTATTCGAAAACTTTAAAACACTTTCAAAACTTCAAACTAGTATCAATTAAATCAAATTGGTGGGAAAAACAGAAAAAAAAACCTTGCTTTTAAGGTAATTCTCAGTATGGAAGAAATATGAAAGCATGGCATCCAAAATTTTCAACTAATCAAAGATGGCACTGTTATGCGTTGTTGGAAGAAATTTAAGAAATCATAGTTAGCATAGAAATGATATAGTCATTTAAAGTGTATAATTTTACCAACATTGGGGAAAAAAAAATTTTTTTTTAATGTAATTGCCAGATGGTAATACAAAGAAGACTTTTTTTTTTTTTTTGAAAATTTCAAACTGGCCAGGTGGGAAAAAAGTGAAGAATAAAAGGAATAAGTGTCAATTGTTGAAGTGATAATGACGCAGATCGTGTGAGCTTAGATAATTTGATTCCTGAAGTTGTTTTTACAGCTAATGTAACCGTATCACCAATTCCAGCTTCATTTTCTGCTGTAAATCTGAATATATATGTTGTTCCTTGACGTAATCCACCAATTTCATATAATCCATCCTTATCTATAAATAATTCAAATTTTCGTAGCAAATAAACGTATAAAAAATGTTACGACGTATCATTACCTAATTCAAAATTTATTGCTTTAGTAAAGCAATATCTTTGTATTTTCGTAATATAACAAAGAAAAAAAAAAATGAACAAGCACACATACTTAAATGTACATTCATTTTAACAGCATGCGCAAACCAAACACGATTATTTTCTCTAGTTTGATCACGACTCTTAAATTATGTGTTAGTTTACGTCATAATATATTTTTGCCAATCTTTTTTTTTTTTTTAAATAAAAATTTACGAAATACTTTAAATATTCATATATCATAGAGTGAAAATAAAAGAAAAAGAAATTAAAAATTTATAAAATTTAATTTTCTGTTTTTTTTTTTTGTTTTTTGATAGAAGAAAAAAAATTGAAACTTGTTCTAGAATAGATTTCTTAATATATTCGATAATATAACGTCGTATTGGCAATTGTTCACCAAATCCTTCCTCAATTTTCCACAACACATAAGTCATTCCAACATCTTGCAGTGAAACATGAACTTCACCAGGTGGAGCTGTAATGTAAGATTCTTCTTTTTTCGCCTTTCTTTTTAAAAATTATAATGAAATTTTTTACAGTAATAAATATTACACACTTGCTTCTTTAACAGCAATTGTTTGTTGTGACCTTGACTTTCCATTACTCACTTCACATCGATATTCACCCAAATCATATTCTGTTGGTGATAAAATCTAAAGTATGATGCAAATCAATACTTAAAAAAAAAAATAAATAAAAAAAACGATAATTTTTGTATTAGAAACAATTAATAGCATAATAAAGGTACAATTAAACATTGATATGCTATGAAACAGAGAATGATATTAAGTTATTTAAGAAACAATTAAACAAGCTTTAGATCATACATAAAAAAACACAACAATCAATATATAATTGTTGAAGTTAAATTAAAATAATTCAAGAGAATCAAGAAATGAAGTTACCTTAAGACAACTTCTTTGATTTAAAGCATCAATTAAAATAATATGATTGGTATCGTTCCGAAGCTCATCACTACCTTTCAAATATCGGAAATGCCTAGCAGGTGGATTTGAACGCGTTACGTTACAACAAATTTGAGCTGATTGATCCAGAACAATAAAACGTTCCACAAACGGTTTATTGAATTCCGGAGACGCTAAAATTATTCATTCTGATTCCCAATATGACTTCGAAGTCAAAATATCATACCATCGATGGATTCAATTTTAATAGCTAAATTGAAGAAATTATTAAATACAAACACCAAACGTCTAATCGAATTTCGTGTTGCTCAACAACTGTTGCATCATATTGTTCAAATTCTTGAACTGACAAGCATTTGATGATAGCATCTTGATACTCATTTGTAAGCTTCTTAACAGTTACTTCTGATCCAGCCGTAACGAACAACGTCTCTACAATATATGAATATCTAAAAGATTAGAATTAAATTCAACATTTAATTCATTTTCATTCTATTTTAAATCAAATTAATTAATGCTAAAACTTTCAACTTATTAAAATGAAATAAAATAATTTGAAGTGCATGATACGAGAGTAAAAATGAACAGATTAGTTAGATCTCATTCCATTTTAATCATATAAAACCTCTGATCTTTCTCTAACTCTTTCACTAAAAAAAAAAATATTAATCTTTGGTTATGTCACTTTTAGATTTAATATAATTAATCCAAAGAAATAAATTCAAATGAATCATACCCTACTTAATGAACAAATTCCTAATGGCATTCAGTTCGATTTAGTACCATGATTAATTTTATGCTGTCAAAAACATGATAAAATGAAGCTATGATAAACCATTAAGTGGAAATCCGTTATGATTCGTAATATAGGTTTCCGGTTGTGGATTGCCAATGGATCCACAATCGATGGTCAACGATTCGCCAAACATCCCTCCAACAACATCACTGTTTTCTTTCCAATGAATTTCATCTAAAAGTGTTTTATTGTTGGAAAATTTTTAAAGATTTTTTTTTTTTTTTTTAATGTTGTCCAACATAAATAATTCGATTATTTTTTTCTTCACATATTTTTCATCAAAATTAGAAATTTATTACCTACGACGATGATTTCCACTTTCCAATTAGCCGAAATCCTTCTGGAATTCCTGGCAACACATTTATAGATCCCGGTATCACGTTTAGCAATTTGCGTGAATACCAACGACAACTTTTTATACATTGTGTTATGCTCTCGTAACTCAACAGTAAACAGACTAAAAACTATGAGTTGTACAATCTAAGTAACTTTGTAGTAAGTAATATTATGACACTAAGCGTAACAAAACATCTCACTTCAAATCTATCAGATAGAAAGATACGGATCAAGATAAACAATAAAATTTTACCTCATCAATAATCCATTAAATTATGTTAAATGATAAATTGCGTTGATAATATTGAAGTACTGAAGTAGTTCATTCCTAGCAATTTATCGGTGAGTAAAGTAGAACCAACTTAAGCTTTAATATGATTTAAAGTTAAAATAATATTGCTTACCTATTTGAAGATTCGCCATCTATTTTACGACCAAATTCATTTCGCCATGCAAGATGTAAACAATTTAAAGAAGTCTGTTGACAAATGCAAGAAATCCGAAATTTACGATCAACTCGAACCACATATCGACTATTGTTAAGAGGTGGTGGCTCAAGACGTAATAAATTTGAGCACTTAGCCCCCGTTATCACACCTTAATTAATTATGAAAAAATTAGAATTAAAAGTCTGTACCGCTGTTCACAATAAATGAACAAATAAATAAACAAATAAATATTTCTCACATTTTTCTCATATTTGAATTCAATGATTTGTTTAAAGTTTGAAACAAATACACAGGTTAATATGGTTTATTGTGGCAGAATGTATAATCAGGCTGTATAAATCTGCAATAACTGATTCTAACTCATTTTTTTCGTACTTTTGATTTTTAGCTTTTTTCATTACTTTTTGTACTTATAAAATTTTTACATCATACATTGTGTTAATGGTACTTTTAACTATAAAATAAATAATATTAAGATATTATTTATTTTGTATTTATAGTTCTTTTTCTAATGAAATTGAACTTTGCCATTGTCATATCTTGTCTTGATTCCCACTTCTCTTCCTTTAGAAAAAAAAAAAAAAAAATGCAGTATGAGATTATGCTTTACACAACTCAAATAAATCCAACTATGTGCTTTTTAAATAAGGCCATTCAACTTTTACTATACTTTAGGCTTTATAGAAACAAAGATAACAGAAAGGTTTTGCCCTTATTTGCGCCATCCCTAACAGCTCATTTTTTCTTCCTCTTTTTTTTCTTTTCTGAAAAAAAAAATGCTTTTTGAAATATTACATATTGAGATATTTAACTGAAAATAGTAATTGTGAGAATGGAAGGGAAAAAAAAAGAGTAAATATTTGAAAATAAAGATAAATACATTCATTTACTTCAATAATTCTATAAGAAACGGAAAATATAGAGTTGTTATAGAAGAATGAATAGAAACATATGTCAGATGTTTAGTAAGATCTAAATTAAATTTTCGTCTTTGTCATTTTTTTGCTTGCAAATATTCGATATTATATTTAGCAAATGGTCTGAAACTGTAATTAAATTCCGTTGTTCGTTTAGCTTATTTTAATTATTAAGTATGATTACTTGATATATGTGTCTATTATGGATGTATGATATTAACTTATTACCAAAAAGGAAAAAAAAATTAAAATTAATGAATGCTTTGTCTGGAAGATACAAAATAATTTATCATCTAAAAGAAGAAAAAGAAGATATCATTGCATCATTCTGAAATAAATGTAAACAAGAACAGATGAAATTAAAAAAAAAATGTAATAAAACATTAAAATATTTTGTGATTGAAAAAAAATTGTTTTTAAAATAAATTTAATAAAGTAGTAGAATAAAATAAAACGGAAGAATTTAAAATGTAATCGTTAACGAGTAATAGTGGTTGTCAGGAAAAGTTAACATTTCAATAAACAATCAACATCATTTATTCATACTTTTCCATATTACTATTAGCATAAAAGTTTCGTCCACATTTGGTATTTGATTTTTTTTTTTTTTGAAAATTATTCAAAAAAAAGTTTGCAAAAGTACGCAACAAAAAAAAAAAAATGTTAGCATACAATTTTTTTTTCTTAAAAAAAATTAATGGAAGGGAGAGAGGAAGAGATTGAGAAAGAGAGAGAGAGAGAAAGGGAGAAAAAGAAACGAAAAAAGAAAAAAAAAACATACCGGCAAGAAGAGTAACAGTAATCAGTGTGGTAATGATAATAATAATATCAATGAAGACGCTAAAGCTAACTGTGATTGACAAAGGCGAACTGAATGACATCGATGATTGGAAGCAGTTTGAATCATAGCATATTGACTAAAAATGAAAATGACGCAGAAGGAGTGAAAAGAACTGAAAAGGCCTAAGATTGGTTTGGTATGTTTGCCACGCCTATTCTTCCCTTTTCATTCTTTACTTAGTCTTAAAATTCGATTGAATTCAACTATTTATGCATGTATGGATGGATGGATCAGTTTGGCCTCTTCTTGACGAGCTTTACTACTTCCAATAGCTTCAAATAAGCTTTATGCTATTCTCACTAAAGCAACATTTCCTTCCACTATTGTTGTTGTTTTGCTGTTTGCTAAAACCATCTTAAAATCAATGCCTGCCGAAATGATACAAAATTGCAACTAAAACTAAATTTAAAAAGAAAAGAGAGAAAGAAAAGGAATAACAAGAGAAAAAGAGAAAAAAAGAAAAAAATGCCAAAAAATACTTGTAAAGTATGAAATTTATTACAAATAAAATGATAATACATATGAAATACAGATGATTATCATAACAAATGCATACTCTACACTATTAGTAGAATATTGAAAAATTGAAAGGTGTTAAATACCTTCTTAATTTGACCATTCCGTTTTTGTTTCATCAATTTTAGTCCATTTGTTAACTTCTTATATGATTAACGATGAAATCTTGAATGATATTAAGAGTATTTACTAGTGCTACTTTTTTTTATTATTAGTATTGTTGTTGTTGTTGTCATTTTTGCGTTTATTTTTAATATCAATATATAAAGCAATAATAATAGATGTGAGTACGTTTTTTTCATATTAAATTTTCCATCAAATTTTTCATTGTCATAGAAGATGAACTATATCTCGAGAATAATTTGCAGATATGAAAAGATGGCATGTTGATGAAAGTTGCTGTTAACCGTAAATGAAATGAATTTAATGATGGTAACGAAAGAGTAAGAGGAAGAAGGAAAGGAGAAAAGGGTGGTTAGATGAGGAACAGAAAGATAATCACCAACCAAAAGAGATGTGAGTACTCGTTGTATTGGTAACTAAACTTCTCAAACTGTTTGCATTGCAAAACATTCCATACATTCCCGAAATAGCTCGGTCAGCATTAATATTTGAAGAAAGGGTTATTCAATTGCATCAACCCGTCCCATTTTTTAAGAGGTCTGATAATCGACGACGCCACATCATCATCATTATTTATGGAAGTAACGCAGCAATAATTGGAATAGCACCAAAATGATAAATCCTAAACTACTGATACTGTTCCTGGATGCTGTATTAGTTATGGAATGTATTTCGTTTCTGCATAACGCTTGGATGTTTACAACTTCAACAACCTCAAAACCAGGCTGTTCAATTTACAACGATGAGCAATTACATATTATCATGGATCGAGTTTGTGAAATTTGTCATGAAATGTATTCACATCAATACCCTAATACAAGGGCCGATTGCAGGTTTGAAATGCAAATTTTCCTTCTTTTACATTAATGAAGAGTTATGGAAATTTTTTGATATTAAGAAATGATCATAGAAATAATTGATTTCGAATTAAATTAAAATAGCATATAAAAATTTCAAAACATGAAATAGTATTTTCAGATCAGACTGTTTCCGGAGCAAGCATTTTCAATCATGTTTGGAGCATTTTCGACCTATGATTCCGTATGGTTGAAACTCTCCCTTTTTCTCCTTCTTTCTCCCTCTCTCCCTTTCCCTCTTTCCCTCTATAGCTGAGGACTAAACAAAATGTATTCTATATGTAATCTCTCAACAAAAACTCTGCCAATACTACCTTTGTTTTTTCTCGATCCATTAATCTTTCTTGAGCTATCAAAAATATTCAAGAGCTTGAAAATTAATTGATAAGCCCGATACGCCTAACTTAGTAAGATGCAATGTCTAATTTGTTATTACAATGTATTTCTCAAATGCCAAATTAAACTTCACTTTTTTTGATCTCAAAAAAAAAAAGAAGAAATGAACCCACTATCCATTCAGCTTTGGCATCTTTTGTCCATAAATAATTTCAAATAGTTAGAATCATGTCGTAGGCACTTATTACATGTTGGCAACATGTTTTACAGTAATCGTAATAATAGTAATAACAGCAACAATTAAAATAATAATAATAGTAATAAAATAATAATAATAATAATAATGTTAATAAAAAAGCAAAATATCAAGACTGTACAGAAAGAAAACTGTTATATTCATTATTTCATAATATCATTATTTTTAAGAAGTGATCCCATGCCTAAAGCACTTCAATCATTCTGATGAACATTTCACAAGTGCATCAAATTTAACATTTTCAATCAAACTTTCTGTAATACTATTAGGACTAGCAAATTTTTCTTCCTTATAACTTCTTCCAATTTTTGAAATTGAACGTTGATTCCTTTGCTGAACGAAAGATTCCTATAATGAAATATTAAAAGCTGAAAACAACATAAATTAAATTTACAAATTTCTTCTATTACATCAAAGTGAATTTTTTTTTTTTTTTGCAATTCACTTAAATATTATTTCATTTCATTAATACAACATTTAGTTGCAATTTTTTGTATGGTCTAAATGTTGTTTATATTAGATATCGAGACTCTTCAAAATGCCTCACTGTGACAATTGATAAATTTAAAAGCCATAGCCTTTTAAAACGAAATTATTTGTTTTAATGAAACATTTCTTTTATGCAATAATCAATAGTATCTCGATTCATCGGCTTTTTTTCTAATTTTAATATTGGACTTATTTTGACTTAGAAATAGCAATAAAGATATTGGCTTTCCTTTCTTCAAATTTAATTTGAAGAAAATGATTTAAGCATGGGAATTAAATTTTAATCAAACTTTTGCAATAAAGCAGTTACAATATTTTAAATACGTATCGTAGCCTTAAGTCTATTTTACTGAAGTAAAGTTGTACAAAAATGATACCTCAGTTTATTATCACTTCGAAAATCTCAAAAGTTGGGATCAATTATAAAGTTATTAAATAGCTTATTGAATATTAAAAGAGCGGTTTAAAACTGTTTGTTTTAATTTTACTCACTACTTTTTTTTCTTTTTATATTTTATTTCCATTGGAACGAATGTTAATTTTAATGAAAGATATTCGTTATCATTTTTAAAAATATTACATATTCATAAATGATTATTATAATGATCAAAATTATTAACCTGTGCAGTTTGATTTGAAAGTTTATTCCATAATTGATTTGTTAACTCATTGAGTCCAAGTGCTTTCATTCGTTTATAATTACGATTAACAATACACGGACACAAAAGAGCTGCACAAATCCGTCGAAATTTACGACCAAATATAGAATAAATAAAAATATTTGAAGCACTGAAATTAGGAAAAATGTTGGAGGAATTTTATTTTTGAAAAAAAAAAAAATCAATTGAATAAAACAGTGCTTGTTAGGAAATGCTTAGTTTAACCATTTTCAATTATTTTATCTAAAAAATAAAATGGTACTCTAGTTAATGAGACGAAATGGTTTGACAAACATTGTTTGCATCTTTAGATATCAATCAAAATATGAGACTAAATTAAATATATTCCCAAAAGATAAGTTACACTAATGAAAAAAGGATAAAGTGACAAACCTATTGACGCATACTAATAAATTTCCAATAGGTAAACGTAAGCGAAAGAATTGGGAATATTCGGCAAAGAATGCTTCAATAATGTGATTTATACCAGCCGTTAAATTACAAGCAATAAATGTTAAAATCATTACAAAAGCCATAAGTGTACAATGTCGTTCTTTTTCATCCAGATTTGCGGTACGACTCATTAAAGAGCGACGGATACGGTATGCTTGTTGTACTGATCGGATAACGATAACGTTTAAAACAATCATTGTTGTCCAAGGAATGATTATCAATAGTAACAAATAACCATATGTATTGTATAAAACAATATAAAGGCCGTTGGTACGTAATGGCGTTGGAGCTAAACGGCCACATTCATCTAATGTTAATTCGAACAGTGATGGTAATTTGTAAACAAATGATACTGTTGCTATCACTGATAAAACCAATTTGGCACGTGATGTTGAACACCACACGCGGGTTTGCAGTGGATATTTTACAGCTAAGTATCTGAAAGTTACACATTTTTCTCATATTTAACGTTATTTTCAAATTGAATAATTTAATTATACTCATCTAGAAATTAATAATGGGCAATTTTCCCAACTTTCTAACCTCTAGATCAAAATATCAGTTTTGAAATTCTTAGTCAGTATAAATGAAAAAAAGCTCACTTTCAACTAGCAATAGCCTTTGTGTAATAAGACAAAAAAAGTAAGCCAATAATTTAAAAAACTTTCAATTATTCAGTTATACGAAATTGTCCTTCATTAATGCAAATAAAAAAGTAAAAAATAATCATTGAATATTGCTAACAAAATTTTACCGATCAACAGTGATAGCTACACATGTCCATACTGATGAGGTTTGTGCTGCAAGGGATATTGGATAACTGACAAGTGTCGTCTTCCAAAAAAATTCACACACTGCACCTTGTTGCTAAAATTTCAAAATTTTACCGATTAAATTTATTTAAATTTAAAAGATTGCATATATATGACCAAATAAAACTAATACTTCATTTTTCATTTCAGTAACGATAACAATTTCTGTAATTTATTAATTTGAGTGATGGGAAGACGTATCACATGTGCTGTTAGCGTAATTACATATCTATTGTTAAGCTTAGTTGAGAATGATGTACTTCTACGAGTATCATCTCGAGATATGCATGCTAGCATATGAAATATTAATATTGATGATCATTAAAATAACAGCAACAAATAACAATGATACGATGAAATATTTTGTTTTTGTCTAGGAGATATAGTTAGTACTGAAAGAAGTAGTAGTAAATGCAAAAGTTTCAGTTTCAAATTTCATGCAAAACAAAATTTTCAACGAAAAAGAGCAGTTGTTCATAGCACTTTTTACATATGCTTATTAAAAATTTCATATTTTCATAATATAATAAATGAAAAATTTTCGTGATTAGTCTTTGTAAGAAATTGGAAATTTCAAGTGGAAAATACAAAAAAAAAAAAAAAAAAAAGAAAAAAAATTGACCACTCAAATCATTCTCTATCAATACTCCATTGATCTATGATCATGAAATATACTTCCAATATAATAGTATTTCCTTGTCAATTAATGATAATATTTGTTTGTTTTTTTCAAGTCAAATAGAACTAAATCTCAAAATAATTTCGATTTTGATCAATGTATAAGGAACGTACGATTGTGTTTCCATTTTACTAAATGTAAAATTTATTCATGCTTTGATTGTCAACCTAAACTAGCTTCATTTTTATCATTTCATTTTGAAAATATGTTTCATGCTAGAACACTAATAAAGCAATCTGTAATAATCATTAATACTTTTTTAAATTCGTCTCCTCATTTTTATCAATAGTAAAATATAATAGATATGTATAATCTGCTACTATCAAAAAATAATTTAATATTACTTTTTTTTATTTTTGACGATGCTATAAGTAAAAAAAAAAAAAAAAAAAAACAGATTTACATTCTGGAAAAAACAGAGGTTTAAATTTTGCTGAAAAAGCTTGCAATACTAATTGTTAAATTTATTGGTCAGATCAATTTTTTCATACAAAGATGAGTTAAGGTGATTTTAACAAGCAAATAAGCTTTATCATTCGCAAATTATTACTTAAATTTTAACTCTCATCTATGAGTTATGGTATAGGAAATACGAGAATATAAGCGTATGGTATAATTATCAAAGTTATTATGGAAAATTGGTCACCCTACTATCTAGGCAATATGATTAATGTTCAGATTAATCTTCTTTTTTGTTGCTAAATTTTTCATAATAGCATTATTGATCAAAAGAGAAAGTAATAAAAGAAAAGAGTAATAAAGTAACAATAAATTGTTTAATAGTCAAATTACTGTGCATATATGATCAAAAATGATAAAATTACCATTTGATATTTCGTTCTACTATTGTTGGAAAATTTTATTTTCTTTTACCTCCTGCAACACATTCTTTTCAATCTTATGAAAGGGAACTATTCTTATTGAAATATAAAAGCATAAGCTTTAAGAGAATGAAGAGAAATGCAACATTTCTGTTTCAATGATTTAAGCAAGTAATTGGCTTGTCTAGGTTAAGAAATTATTATGAAAGATTGAGCAATTATTTCGTTTGATTTGATTAAGGTATGCTAATAATTGTAACTTCATTAAGTTATATCGATTATTTAATGATTGATTCTTGTTGAGAAGCACTTTTAAACATCTAACAATTTCTCTCGTATATTTATCTTAGTGAAAACTTTTTCTTTTATAATTTTTCCACTTACTGACAAAATCTTTTTCATATTTGTATGTTATTTTTCGCTTATATATGCAAATTATTTATCACAGTTAATGGTTTAATCATCCACATTTAAGATTTTCTATTGGATAGACGAATTGGTTTAAATGGAATCGAAGGCTAAAATCTCATTAATTCTGAAAGAACACCGAAAGTAAAACATATAAGTGATCTACATGAACACATGAATATTTCTCCTTTTTTTTTTAATCAATTTTTTCTTTAGTATGTTAAAAAAAAAGCAATGATCAATAAAGTAAACAACTTCTTCTGTTTCTCATCATTTCAAGATTCTTATTATATTTGGTAATATTTTAATTATCACAATAGTAACACTAATGTTATTGGAGACTCACATATTATATATAGTTAAACTACAAAATTATATAAAAAGCTATAAAAATTTGCACATATATAAATAAACAAACAAATATACGTTTATATAGTTTGAATGAATTTCGATGATTAATTAAAGTATTGATCATGGCTTATGATGATTAAAAATTCAGAAATTGCTTAAAGCTAGATAGTTGAGGTATTTCAAACGTTCCAGTAAACTCATTAAGTATTATTGAAAAGGAATAGCGGTAAATAAATAGCGCTGTCAGAACATGCCTGGGATGCTCAGTGTACTTTTAAGGGAAATGATTCGCAGCAGAAAAGAATGAAAGAAATTTTCTAAAAATTGATCTTACATTGTGGTCTTTTTTTTTTTTTTTTTTTCTTTTTAATTCTAAATAAAAATTCAAAATAGTTTACCATCTTCAAATATTTTTTTACCAATACTTTCTTCCAGTACCACTAGTACTTGTATTTAGCTAATTCAAATTTGAATCAGTGCTGATCATATTAATCAAAGTTATGAATTAAACAGTTTGTGATATGTCCAAAAATTATAAAATTCATTCCGATAGTTCATCTTAAGTGTTGTTTTCATGATAATTTTGCTCCGTGTTTATAGGCTGATGAACATCAAAATGATTCCTAATGGTGATGAAGGCGGATATTTTGAATTTTAGATTAGCCAAATAATTATGTAAATTTTGATTTCAACATTAATTTCAAGAGGAAATTTCTTCATTTATTATATCTATTGAGTAATAATTAATTATAAGTTTTGCTGACAAATTTACTCAAATTTATTTGCTTGTCTGCATCAAGTCATATAATAATAATTCTCTACATGACAAAAGCCTATATTGCAACTAACGATGTTTGATTTACGTCATTGCGTGTGCTACTTGCAGATCGTGTTTTCAATATTGTAAGCGTTGCGAGGTGATTCACTATGAAAAATATAACAAATAAAAGTTGTATCGAACAGTAGGCACATATTTGATCTATTGTTAAGTCATGCAAAGTGATGTGAAAATTGTGTTATTGCGAAAAAGTAAATCAATCTGCATGCCTTTAAGGATTATTTATGCAATTTGTTGATAGTACAAACTTTCTCGGCACTTTTTTTTAGTATATTCAAAACGCTTTCACAGATTTTTTTTTCTAATTAAGTATTTAATGCTTAGTAAGAAACTAATTTAAAAAAAAAAAATGACTTACGTTATTTTGCAAACAGATCTGCATAGGAGGATAAATAAGAAGTGATACAAGTAAAAGAATTAAGTCGAAAAATGATAAACCAGCCAGATAAATGTTTAATGAAGAGCGCATTTGTGGACGAGTGAATATGATGACACATACGGAGGCAGCAAATACACCAGCCGTACAAACAAGTGGTAATACGGTGGTATAAATGATATGCTGAGCGAAATCAACAAGATTATCAGTTCTTTGGGAATCACGGGATTGTGACATATGGCATCCTGAATGATGATTATAATCCATCGATAAGGACAATAATGATAATGATGATGATGATAATAGTGATAACAGTGTTTGGTTTAGTTAAGAACCTATTGTTTTGATCCATTTGATTAAGAACTAATAGACGGCATATGATTTAGCACTGACCATTTGGCCTTGAGGAATGATTGTTAGAGTCCTTTCCTGACTAAGTAAGTCCTATTATTTCCATTCGTCCTATTTCATCCATCCATTCATTTTGTTCCACCACACCCCTTTTACCCTTTTCATTGCCCCACCCAAACTTCAACGTCTGTCACCAGTACTTACTCACCACATGTCGTCTCGTCCACCTGAACTAAAAATAGCTCTTCTAAGATGTATGCATTATTGCTTTAGTAAGGTCAAACATTGATAGATGATACTTTTGTTGTCATCCATAATTATTCTTTTGTTACAATAATATAATGGAACTTTACAACAGTTAGAATGATATCATTGATAAGAGATTGATAGGACTATTGTAATGATACAATAAAGTAGAAACAATATAGAATTACTATGACGAATTTAATTACAATTAAATCGAAACAGAAAAGACTGAAATGAATAAATTCAAGACAAACAATCAGGTAAAAGATAAATGAAGCGTAACAGGAGATAATTGAAAAAAAAAAAAAAAAAAGTGAGAAAGGGAAGAAATTAAAAATTAAGAATAAAAAAAAGAGAAGAAAATGAGAAAGAAACATCGACAATGTTAAGACTTTTTAAGTCAATGTAGTCACTTGACATTTGCCAGAGAAGCAAATGCATTTTGGAGTAGCATTTGGATGATGAAAATCTAAAAGGACGAAGGTGACGAAATATATCAAAATAATCAGATTGGTGCTTTCCATAGCTAAGAAAAGTGGATCTTTTTTTTATTTGTGCTTTCCATAGCTAAGGAAAGTGAGAAAAGTGGATCTTTTTTTTTTTTTTTTATAAGATTAGTTCCGAAATTTATGACGTTGCCTTTCAAATGGATTTTTTTTTTTATTCCATGATTTTATTTGAATTTCTAAGCTACCAATTTTATAAGTTTTTTATCGACAAATACAACATTCGTCAAAACATTTCCTCTTTTTACATTCAGAATGTGATTGATATAACTTAACTAATTTATATTGTACTTGTGAATTATCAATAAACTTTTCTATAAACATTACTTTAACTGTTTACTTAAATATGAACAGATAAATAAGGAGATAAAATTTGAGGAAGGTAAAACTTCCTCAAAGAAAAGCTTCCTCAAAAATGCTTCCTTTTGAAAATTGTAATTAATTTTAAAAAGTTAGTAGTTTTTGAATAACAATTTGATTTATCTTTTTTTCTCAATATCATCAGTGATTTGTTAAGAAAGTAAAAAGTTGCATCATCATCTTAAAACATGTTTTCGATTTGTTACAACGTTTGTCATGAGGATTTCTTTAACATCAATACTTTAAATCAGTTTAAAAATTCCAAGTTTTTAGAAATCATTTAACAACTGCTACAATGGTTTTATATTGAAAAGCAATCATAATTTTCAATTGTTATTGTTAGCAATGGAACATAGCGTTGTATTTGAATAGAAAAAGAAAAGGAGGAAGTAGCTAAAATTGTGCTTAATTTACGAAATCAAATAAAGTTTAAGTGATTTACGACATTCTTTTCGCTTATATAACAAAATAGTGAAATAGTAAGAGCAGTAAGTAGTAGCAGGTAGTAGTACTGGCAAATTCAAATGTTATGATCAATAACTGTAAAAGAACAATAATTGATAACAGCATATTTTAATAATAATTTAAAAAAAAAAAAAAAATTGCTAGCAAAATCATGCTTGATGCACTAAATTTGAATTAAAACAAGCAGTACTAATTGTTGCATTGTTGAATTTTAGTGAATGGTGATTGGAAAAGATTTTGAGTATTTTGAATAATTGAAACAATTGGAATTTTTACTATCATTGTCAAGTTTGATAATTGAATCAATAAGGAATTTTTCATTAAAAAATTAGATTCGACCTACCATTTTCTTTTCTTTTTTTCTAACTATTATTATTAAACTAAATCAAGTAAATAAGCTTTTAAAGATAATGAAGTTTTTACAGATATTAGCGAAATCTGATTCTTGCTAAATATTCACTGTTATCTGGTTGCAAAACTGCTAATATCATATTTCGTAGTAGAAAAAAGCAATTCAATATCTTTGTATAATTAATATAAACTCTGTCCCAATCTGATAAAAAGATTTGTAAGTTTATGAGCAAAACAGAAAATAAGCGAAAATTCGATTTCATTATTTTCATACTGCTGAGGAAAACATAAAAAGATTTATAAGTCCTCCTCGACACTCCGATATATTTTATTCCTTCCGAAAAGTCAGGAAAATAAGCACTTCATCATAAAGAAGTGTCTTCTTCAAAATTTTGCACATTTCAAAATATATGGGTACGTCAAATTTTTTTACACAAGACGAATAGTTTTAAATGCTTTTAATGATTCCCAGTGAAACATTTCGCATGTAACGTAAAAGTTCATATCTTGAAATTTAATTTTAAAATAACAAAAAGCTCTTTGATTATATTCTATTACAGTGATGAGAATTTTCTGCATTATGTTTAAACACTTGTAGGGAAAATATGATAAACCAAAGCGAAAGCACTGAATATAATTTATGAGCCTGGTAATAAATGATATCACAGTGATAAAGCATATAAAATTGACTGCCGCAATAAGCAATAATATGTTCATATATTATACCAGTCAGTGTCATATTCTTGCCATTGGGATTTAAAAATCTAATTTTAACCATTATTTATAACAATATATCCATTTTAAATCTCTCGTTTTTTATTACTATGTAGAGTGAAGCGCCTATTATTAGTCTTTAATTTCGTGTTTATCTTTTTCCCAGCACTTTCCCGCTATCCTAGGCGCTTTCTCATTATTAGCATCCAAACTTTATCAGCTCTGTTTCAATAATCTAAAAAAAAAAAAAAAAAAAAAAAAAGAAACCAGTGATACAAAATTTGAATCAATGTGAAAAGCATATGTGAACAATTTGAAAATTGCAGGTATAATATTATCTCATAAATTTTCTCTTTAACATCATCTTAGGCATGATTTATGAATTTGATAATAATAGTTCAAGAGAAAAAACACTAATTAATTCCAATTTGTTCGTTTAATAGCCATAATAATTCGTTTCCGAAGATTCAGTGTGTAGCGATGAGAATTGCATATACATCAGTGAAAAATAATAATTTAAAGGAGATTTAAATTTAAAGGAATTAAATTGCAAGTCGAATAGCTATTATAATATAATCAATTATAACAATCACTTCATACAATATCACGATATATTATTATTTCTCATTTACCATAATCAATATAATTTTTTAATGAGGAATTAATTAATTCAATCACATACTGATCTAAACAATTAACAATTTTTCATCCCTATTTTAGCAACTTTCTGAAATACAGTGAATGTATGTATGCATGTTTATCTATGTCTGTATATGTGTGTGTGTGTGTTTCTAAATGTATTAATGGTGTGGTGGTCGACAATGTTTAATTCCCGTTTCGTTTCATCGTTCGGTCTTATTCCATTCCCAGTTGACATTGATTATTTCAACGGCTTGGTTGCTTTTTGCCATGTAATTTCAAAAATACCACTCCGATTTGCTCATAATGTCAGCATTTCCTGAACTATTGCTGTCATCGTTGTTGTTATTGTTATTGTTATTGTTTACACTGCAGCATTAAACTATGATCAAGTATTACTGATATGATTGTTATTAATGATATGTAGAAGAAGCAACATGAAGTTTTTAGTAATAAATTATTTTAAAAATTTTATGCTTACTATTATTTGTAATTAATCATTTCAGATAATCGTATAATTTAGTGTAGCTGCATTCCATCGTAACTATTTCATATTTATTATATTTAAAATTTTCCGGATTAAAATCTTGGACATTAAATAATACAAGTATAGTGATGGTGCTAAATGATTGTAACAGAACACATTTATGATCAAATTTAATCATGCGAAGTTGCGTGTTCTGTGGAAAACTTGCCTGCAGCGTGTAAAAAGCAATCCTATCATGTGATGCCTGTCATGGTGAGAGCTTTGCTTAATTCATACTTTTTTAACTTCTTTTTTTCTTCATTGTAAATTTCTTTTTAAAATGTTACCATACCGATATTTACCGATGGAACAAATTTATCCTGTTATTACGTCTTAAATATATGTGCATGTACAATACGCTTTTCCCTTTTTTTTTTTTTTTACCAGGAACAATCCTAGCAATAATTAAGTGTAAGAAATGAGGAAAATTTTGAATTTTTTTTTCCTTATTTCTTACAAAATTTCCCTATTCTATTATGGTAATGATTATTATTACTTTTAATTATCATTTCAAATAAATTGATGAATAGACGTTGATACATTCAGAAAAAATTTCTCCATTAAATTTTGCTTTTCAGATTTCTGTATTAATTTCACTGCTTATTCCAATTGTTTTATATAAAGGCGAATACTGTGGTGAGAATAAAATACCATTTGGAATTGAAGTTCATCCAAATGCTCAACCATTGTTGCACTGTTCTCGTCCATCTTGCTTTGAACGTCGATATGCGGTCCGTTTCATTTTCTTTAATTCCAATTTTTACTTAGTATTGGAATAATTTGTTGATCCATCCAATTTTTCCTCTACAAGTAAAAAGTATTGATGAATCTGTTGCAGTCACATACGGCGATTTGTTTAAAAAAAAAAAAAGAAAAAAAATTGTGAAAATCTTCGATAATACAAAGTGCTCAGAAAAAAATCTCAAATTAATCAACAAGCTTATTTTGAAGTGCTAAAAAAGTATTTCAATGTTGATTTTTCTTTTTTCTAGAATTTGCAAAAAAAAAAAAATGATAGTTTTAAATGTTTTTTAGGATTGTGATGATCGCGCACAGCGTAAATCTTGTGAATCAAATGATAGCTGGGTTGGAGGCTTTGAAAAGGGTTACGGGAATCATCAACCGTTTGTTTTTTATCTTGTCTGTTCATACGATCTAATCTTTTTTCAAGTTAAATTGCATTTCAATTTAGATTCAAATACAGTAGCTTTAGGATGGTATCAATGATCGATTTTGAAGAGCTAAGAAGTTAGGTTCATTTAAAATTTGAAGAAATTGTGACCTTCATTAAATAGTCCTTTTTTTAAAAAAAGAAAGATAAAAAAGTAGAAATTTAGATTGTATGTGCAGTGTTGTACGTTTGAAGGCCTAGCCGATCATTCCAGTCCGCTTTATCATACAATTATTAAGCCTGGACAGTATTTCGAAGGTGAGGAGCAAGTTGAGGAAGAAACTGATACGGTTATCTCATTCGATGTTATTACAGATTTCAAGATGATTCGCTCAACTAATTTATCGTAAGTCAATTTATAGATTAAATTGTATAATCCCTAGCTTATATCTGACCAGAAAAACATTGTATGGAAACACTGAAACATTGAAAAAGTTGAAATATTCACATTATAATTTGCTAATCTGAGGTACTATATTGCAGGATTTTTTACGAAATGGCAGTACGACGTTTGCGATGCTATGAGTTACCTCCCGTAGACAGGATTAAACGTACAAGACGTTGGCCGTAATATCTTAATTGGATATTAATTTAATCCTTAAATTACATTTATTTTTTAAATTATCATTTACAGTAACAGAAAGTATGAACGAAATATTTGTTGTCCAAACCTGACGATTTACTCAATCAATTGTGATATCAACGATTTATATTAATAAGTACTAAATTCATTTTAGGAGAATGTGAACTTAAAAATCAACCTTTTTCAAGTGGTTTTATGTTTTAAGACATATTAAGCATTCAATAAATAACGGATATTAAATGCTTCAATTTAATTAATTTGAATAAAATGATAAGCTATCATATACCATTACATATAATAAATGTCCTCGAACTAACGATACATATGTACAAATATATTTCAAGTTTCAAGTGGTGAATGTTGAAGTTGAATCCAAAATGTCTATCGCACACGAAGCTAATGCTCTTATATTATTTTCTAGGTCCTTTTAAAATTTATAAATTGAGATTTTTTGGTGATTAAACAATTCGATGTGAACAGATATTCTTCTTATGATTGATTGGTGGAGTTTAAGAAACTTGCTCCTTGCAAATCAAATCACGCTATCTGTTTGAGCGATTGCATTGTTGTGGTGATCGTTGCAAAAGACAAGAATGAATGAAGAAAAAGATCACATGAGAATATGTAATGATTTCTTTAAAATTTATTCTAAAACAGGCTTTCTATTTTTAAAACAATGAGAGGTATTAGTAATTGAAAAACTCCGAAATAAAAAAATATATGTTGTAGACAGCGGCATTCTTTGAACAAGAACACAACATTTCGATTTCTATTTTGATGTCGCTTACTATCAAATTCATTTGCAAATTACACAGTTCAAATATGACTGGATTGTTACTCATTTAACAATATCAATCTTTGAACAGTAATTGTTGTCGACATTCAAAAAAAAAAATGCAATACAATACATTTGATATCAAATTTTCTGATGTAATTGTAAGAAATAACAATTTTACACAGTTGAAATTTTAACAATAACGAAATTTCCTTCAATTATAACAACATATTCTAAGGATGTTTACTTCAGCATGAATAATAATCCCTCAAAAAATACAAAACCATTAATTGTGATTCTTCAAATTCTATTCCGCTTTGAGTAATTGTTGGATGAAATAAATAAACGACACTTCTAATCGCTTGCAATATTATAAACAGCAAAATTTATGAAGTTTCATATATAAATAACGTCATTAATCGAGTAACAATAAAAAAAGAATTTCTGAAATCTAGTTATTTTTTCTTTTTATGTAGCAATTTTGTTGCAATAGTTTCACTTTTGATTTGCATCTCTATGACTACAAAAATATTAGCCATGATAGTCGAATAGATTGAAATAAACTTAGGAATTAACTTGATAAATTTAGTAGTATTTTTTGCTGATATCATGTAAATTATCGCTTTAGTCTTTCGTAAGAAGTAAAAATTAAAATGAATATTTTTCTTTTTCTCACAAATAAAGAGCAAATTTTAGTTGGGAAACAAAAAAAAGTGGTAAGACGACACTTTGCTTGCCTCATATTCATTAACACTTTGAAAAAGGATTCATTAACATCTGTTTATTAATCTCTTGATATGCCAATAAATGATTTATCAGAGTTGTTCATATTAACCAGCTTATTAAATTTTAGAATATATGGTAAAATAGTATTAAACAGTATCTGAAGACTTTTTCAACGTATCATATGCAACAGTTTGATTACAAAATATGGATACACTCCATTTAAGCAGACAAAAACTGATGAATGCCTAAGTTTGTCTTAAATAGGTGAAAGGGATATTTATTTGTATGCGATTGCTCTCTATCCTTCTAAACATTTTAAATTATCATTAGTTGAATTTGTACCCATTAAAAAACTACTTGACACAATCGAACCTCAGTTCCTAGTTGCAAGATATTTTATATGTCAGATAAGGCAATAGCTGATAACTTGTTAAAAATTATTTACATTTTCAACCATTAGATTTAATTCATCCATTAATTACGCTATCAATATCTCAATTCTTTTGGTTTCAAACAACTAATATCTAATAGTAATATCTCTCTTTCTTTCACTCTAAAGTAGCTTATCAAAACCTTATAAAAACATATTCAATTGTATCGAAATATAACTTAAAATACCACAGATATAATAAAGCAATTTCATAGATTATTTCATTTGTATTGATTTAGCATAGTAGTTAACATTTTGCATATAAAATTTCCTGCAACTTTTTTTTTTTTTTTTTCTTCATTAATTCATAAATATGAAAAGATCATTTTTAAAGATAATTTTAATTTGCTTTTTCATAATGACTATTTGTTCGATTTAATACTTGAAAGATAATTTGATTATTTATTGCACCAATCATTACATTTATTTTTGCTAAAAAAGTTGTACACTACTTTTCATGAAAATTGAATTTCAGTTACGCATGTTGAAATTAGCTCCAAACTACCGTCATATGTGATAGATGAAGAATAAGTCAAAGAGATAATTGTGTTTTTGAAAAGCACACTGTTATATCAGAATCGTTGGTACATTTAATGCTATGTGCCACTTTGCATGAAGTAGATTTATTTAATTCATCAGAGTTAAATAGCGATTTTGCAAGCACAAAAAAGAGAAGAAAAAAAGTTTCCCGAACAAAAATCACCAGAAGGTCACTAACTATTTCAAAAATGTTGATTTGTATCATGTAACAAATATTAATGATCAAAAAGCTCAGATCTACAACATGCGGTATGAATGTGCAGAAAGGAAAGGAAGGTCAGGTTTTTATCGAAAACGCATTAATAATGAATATCACAGGTGTATCAGCAACCAGTTTAGTTGACCATGGACTAATACAATCGGTTTATATAAACATTAGTGCTCAGTTAAGAAACAATTTGCTTTGTTGGTGACTGGTTGAATTTTATATCAAAATTCTAATACCTAATATATATCTCTCATAATGGTCGTTTTATTCTTTCTCCTTGCTCTTATTCCGCAATATCAGGCAACTTTTCTTGGTCCCAGTCAAGATTGTAATTGTCCACAAACATCATTATGTTCTGTTTGTCCGATATCTTGTCCATCACTTTTCCCACCGCTTTGTCCTCCACAACCTCCATGTCCTCCACAACTACCTCCACCTCCACCACCACCACCACCGCCACCTCCACCACCTCAGGCATCTGCGCCATGTCCTCAACAACCACTTTGCTTGCCTTGTCCACCACCAATACCAATGCAACCTCTTTGTCCACCAAGCCTTCAACATCTTCTGTTACCTTGTCCACTACCACAACCCTCGAATTCTCCTTGCAAGCGTAAGAAACGTTCTACACCAATTACTTCAGTCGCTAGCGATTATGGTACCAATATTCATGCCTCGTGCACCAGCAATTATATTCGTAAAATTATCCTAAAGGTAAACCTATTCTCACTATTTCAATTACAGTTTTCTTCTCTTAATTAACAAGACAATTAAAATTATTAACCTGCCTATGATTTATGATCAGTAATTTCACTATCTAAGAAGACAATAATAAGTAAGTCAATTTATGATTAAATACAGAAATATTAAAAATTAATAAAGTGGATGAAAGCCTCCATTTGTTGTTGCAAAAGTAGAAATATTCCCAGTTGTTGTTTATTATTTATGACGGATAATTGAAAGTCTGCAAATTAGTTCCTCATTAATTTCCAGTCTCATAATTCAAACCGACAGTAGAATTAAAGTGCTTTGTATCATTTTAGATAGTAATGTAATTAAATAATTATGCCTTTGGAAGTTGCATCGAATTCACTACATAATGGGTTTAATAAAACTGACTAATAACTAATAATGTACCTAATAATTTAAATATTTGAAATTATCTTGCGAATCTGCAAATTAGCTCGTCATTAATTTTCAGTCACACAATTCAAAACTTTTTGGAAAATACATGCTTGGAATTCTCCGAAAATTCTCAACACTTAGCTAGCAACTATTTGCTTATCGAAGTGAAATAACCAAAATTTACAAGGGACAACTATCCCAAAAATTGATATTTCCAGATTTTTTTTTTTGATATTTTTAAACATTATTTTTTGAGTTCCCTGATTTACTAAAAGTTAAAGCCAAATAATCCCTGAAATGACAGATGCTATTCTAAAAAATTTGTTGCTAATAATGGATAAAACCATTTGTAACCTTAACGCTGATTTCTATTTCATCTTTTAATTATTCTTGTTTGATTGATTTATGTTTAGAAACTGATGAGATGAGCATTTCTTCGTCCTCAGATAAAAGTTGTTAAGAAAAATCAAAAATCTAAGGAATATACAAAATGAAACTTCAACTTTTTTATTCCATCTTAAGTTTTGAATCACTTGACTAATCTGCAGTTTCACTTTAACCAAAAACTTTTTCTTTAAGAAGTGTAATTCTTGCTACTGAAATTTGTAATATGTGAAAAATTGCGGACTTTAATCTAAAAATCCTTGAGCAACTCATTTAAACTACTTGTGAATTGCTGCAAATGACTGCAACATTTCATTTCGAAATAGAATTTTCAATTGTGAGCAACTGTAGTTTTATTCCATTTTACCCTTAAATTCTTCTTTTTTTTTTTTTTTTTTTGAAAACAAATCATGTCAATACTAAAGAGTAGGGCCACTACAGTAGTCTTAATGAAATCAACTATTCGATCAAAAACAAGATTTGACAAAATTAGTATGTATAAATGGTGTTCATACTCTTGCAACTAATGACCAGCTATTTCAAAATACCTCAAAACACTCAATAGTTAAGCAATTAAGCATTCAGAGCCTACCATTTCCTAAAACTAATCTTCACTAACTGAAATTCATTTGTCAAAAGTGGCTAGCTGATACTATCAAAAATTTTTTTCGCTCTAAAATAAGCAACTTATCTGGGGGACGTTATCTTTCATCCAAGATAATAAAAACTATAGTTTGGAGTGAACATTGCAGACTAATGAGTTTTAAAATTTGAAATTTGTTCAAAAATTTATTTTCTTCCAAAATTTATATTTTTATTAGAAATTCTATTGAAATCGGTCATTTAATATTACTAAAGGTAGGAATTAAATAACAGCTTCTAAACCAATAAATAGGATCTTCTCAGAACTACGAATCAATTGAGCTAATTACCAACCAACTTTAAACATTCAATTTATAGTAGACTATAAAATATAAAGTTTCAGCATATATTATGTGTATACAATATTACGTTATTTTACTGCAATTTTCTAGAGCAAAAGTCAATGGACAACATTTCATCACTGATAACCTGTTTATGTCTTCATTTAACTCATAATTCATTCTCATGATCAGGAAAAAGGGAAAGAAAGAAACAATTAAACGAAATTTGTAACGCTGTCCTTTCCTAATTTCTCTGATTTAATTGAAGCAATTGAATTGACTGTATACCAAATTTGAATTGATTGTATTAAAAATAGGTGCATAAATCAATGAATGCGTAGGAAATCACAAATAAATGGTGATAATGCTATTAAATTTCAAATAAATGATTAAATAAAGATAAATACATAGTAGTAGAATGTTTCAGAATTTGAGCACAGATGCGAAAATCTCAAAAGCGGCAATTTATTCGGAACTGAAAGCGAAACAAAAAGGTGATTACGTGGTGTTATGCTCGCAGTCCAGTTTATCATTTACAAGTGATTCAACAAATTATTGTGTTGGTGGAAATACAAATCATCTTTGCTATGTATTCGAACTATGAAAAAAACCTGTCTAATTTCTCACATAATTTTTTTTCACAAAAAGTTTCTACTTGTTAACAGCTGATGTTATTTCACTCGCATTTGAATATTTTTAGAAAATTTTATATCTAAGAAGTAATAAATTACATCAAACTTCAACAAAAAAAAAGAAAAAAAAAAAGTTTAATCTTGATATTAGTTACTAATTTTAGCTAAATATTCCACTATTCTAAGTTCTGCTGATTTCTGCAACATTGTCAAATTGTCATGATTTATCTTTAGGTCTATAAATTTTTGTAAAATCATAAATCATTTTTCTTCTTTTTAAAAAAATATCCAAAAAAAAGGAAGAATCTCAAACACATATAATTACTGTTTATCTTGTAAGTAAAAAGCGATTCTGAACGTTTTATATCAATTGACTGACTTTTTTATTGCAGTAATTTAAACAAAATTTTTAATTAGCACAATAAGCAATAACTATAATTATCTGTCCTTACTTTTCTGTTCGGAAGAAAAAATATTACTCTACAAGAAGAATAATTGATGTTAACATTGTTATTTGTCTCAAACATTTATTAACCAGGTTTCTTTTTATATTCTCATTTCATTTGTATTTTCAAGTTGATAAATTTACATCAATAATTTCGTGCGGTATTGTATCAATTAAAATGAAAGAATTAGATGCATTTGAACGGATGAAATGACTATTTTAACTGAAAAACTTGAGAAACTATAAGAAATTATAATATTAGAGGATAGAAATACTTACACTTCACTACATTTAAGGTAATTGAAATCAACACAAAACAAAGCAAAATAAGAAAAAAAAAGAGATAAAGAAGAAACTTTGTTTCACAGAAATGATAGTTGAAGACTAGATGCTAATGTATGGTCATAATCTACAATACTTTGCATGGATTAAATTAGAAATTTTAGTCAATTAATGTAATGAAACTATGGACAATAAAAATGTCATTTAGCTCTATCACTTCGTAATATACCAGAAAAATAAAATAAAATGAAAGCAAATTAATTGCACCATATAAGCCACATAATTACAAACGGCAATAAAAGGGTTAAATATAAATTTTCCATTGAAAATCATAAACATAAATAATTTCCTCTGTGCAACACTTTTATGCGAAATTCCATCAGTTCGGCATTGAGAAATACAAATGGCTCCAAAAACTATAACAAAGAATAAAGAAATTATAAGATCAAAACTAAGTTCTAGGTAAAAACAGTTAGGTAGATAGGGCTTTGCTACGGGTATCTATAAAAACTACCAGCCAGCACCAAACCGAAAAACTCATAGCTAAACCAAGTAATGGCATATACTATTTGCGTAAATGTAAATTGATGTTTAGTCAGAGCTTGTTTAGTTTCACACTGGGTGCGTGAATTTAAGTGTGGCCGCGTTAACGTTTAGGCGGATGGTATATGAAGGTGGGATAGGTCTAATTTGGTTATTATTGTAGTTGTGGTGAGGTTTGACGTGGTGGTTGGTTGAGACTAAAATTAAGTGCGGATTTTTGGGATCGATTTAAGGAGATTTTAGTGTAAGGGGATGGAGTCGAAGGATGTTGGTGAATTAACCAAACCAAATGGTTATGATGTGGAAGGCAAGGAATTTATCAGTGCTCTTCCTAAAAGCATTAAACGACGAGTTCAAGCATTGAAGAAATTGCAAGTCGAGGGTTTGTGTATATTTCATCGTATTTTTCATTCACACATTTACTTGGCTTTTATGTAGAATGGTGTGGAGATGGAAATCAATAAAAAAATTCTGAAGTAAGCAAAAAAGTGAAGATTTTGAGAAGTTAACAGTGATGAGGGATAATAAATCATGAATGCAGGTCATGAAGTGATTATTTCGAATATTATTGAGGCTCTGTTTAGGTATTAATGTTGAAGCTCATTTCTATGAACGTGTGCATCAGTTAGAGGTAGAATTTGCTCCTATGTTCAATGCTTTGCATGTTAAGGTAAATTGTTCTTTTTTCTGTTTGGTCTTCTCTATTACAATCATTGGTCTTGAAATAAATCGATAACAAAAGTTATCAGATTGTTAGCAGTCTCAGGAGGACTGATAGTTTTGCCACAGCACAACCGCAGGAATGTGCACAATGATGCTTAGTGATTTGCTGTTCACCACTCCCCTTTCATACAGATAGTGAGATAATTTGCATACTGTATACTGCTGGTTTTAATTGTTCATGTTTCTGCAACAGTGGGTTGAGCTTGTTACATGTTATTTTAGATTAGAATAAGTTCAATAGATTTGATGAACTTTAAAGGTTTTAAAGAGCGATACAGCCTCCTTTGACGACCGATGGACCACAATACTTGGGGTTTATTTTATTTATCCTTACAGAGAAAAGCGATTATAACGGGTACATATGAACCCACTGATGACGAGACTAATTATCCGATTCTTCATGGTTATACAAAGGAAGAAATCGAGGTGACTATTCAGTTTTGCAGATCATCTTTTAAAAGTGCCTGTTTTAAAAATAGACACTTTTGAAAATGGATCCTATTTTAAAAAAATTAAAATGCAAATTATTTTATAAATATCTTTATTTGTTGTCCTTGGGATGTTTTTGGATTTATTTTCAGCAAATGGAAAAAGCATCAGCCCCGGAGCCTAACCAGCCAACAAAAGGTGTTCCAAATTTTTGGTTGCACCTGCTTAAAAATGTAGATCACGTTTGTGAGATGATCCATGAACATGATGAACCAGTACTTCAACATCTCATTGACATAACATGTGACGTTCAGGCTAACCCGGATGTAAGATTTCATCATGAATATTAAAGTGTGTGGTCATCGATAAGATTCTAATTTGGCATTTTTTTCTGGGTAGCGAAGTGGGTATTGCAAGGTGTAATTGAAGTTTTGTGGAAATGTTTGTTGTTTGGTATATGTTGGGTTTTAGACATCTGTGGTTTTTATTGGATGAACTTTTTAGTCATATACCCTGACATTCCATTTCGAACCCAATGAATATTTCACTCAGACAGAGTTGAAGAAATTTTATACCCTACAAGTTGCTCCGGATGAAGACGATATTTTTGATTACGATGGTCCAGTAATAATTAATGCTAAAGGGTAAGTTATATTTGATTTTTCCTAATGGTCAGTATTTATCTATGGTGCAACCTGGCCGAGAAAATCGCTAAACTGCTAGTTGGGAGGCATATATATGTCATCTTACCAAAAGTTGCAGTATTTTAGAATGCCATTGTTAATTTTATATGCTATATTTACAGTACCGAAATAGATTGGAAAGAGGGAAAAAACGTTACAAAGAAAATTATTAAGAAAAAGCAGAAGAAAGGCAGCGCTGCTGGTCGTTTCATTACGAAAACTGTGAAAGCTGACTCTTTCTTCAACTTCTTCGACCCTCCACTCATGGAAAATAAGAATGAAATCAGTGGAAATGATGATGTTAGTATAATCGTGCTTCGTTTTTTTTTTTTTTTTTTATATTAATGTATTTTCAGACATTTTTAGTTTATTCGAAAATCAAACATTTTATGGGTTACGATATAGGCATTCACTGTAACAGAATATAGAAGGTTGTTGAGCGAACTACGGTGATAAATTCAGGTTATGAACTATTAGTGACAGCTTCCTGCTCCTTCTGGTTCATTAATCTTTAATTTCAGGACATTGAAACTCAGGAACTGTTGCAAGCTGATTTTGAGATTGGTCAGCTATTCCGTGACCAAATTGTGCCTAGAGCAGTGCTGTTTTACACAAAGGAAGCAATGGATGAAAATGAAATTTTCGATTATGATGCGGATGAAGATGAAGATGAGGTTCTTTGTTTGAAATATATCATTCATAGCGATCTAAAATTTAATGTGGTTGGGTTCATACTAAATGTGCGCTTCCAGAACCATCCCTTGCAGCCTATTCTGTTGTTGTAGGTAGTTTTTTAACCTGCCATCAACACTGGCTCATTAATAATCATTATTTTATGTATTTAGTAGTACATAACCGGTACCACAACCACACTCCTCCGAATAAATTTCTGCATTAACTTCATTTTCCTCTGGATCAAGAGAACTATTATGTTTCAGTTTTCCTGCACCTTGTTGTAACATTGGATTTAGCGGAAATTATTTTGATCATATCCAGTTTTTTAAGAATATTCATTGTTGCAAATTTTTTAAACAGGTGATTGTTTCAGACGGAACTGTTTGACGAAAGTGATAATGCATAAATTCTGTCGTCGGAACTATCTGCTTAATAAAATTACTCAATGCTGTACTGTCAAATTGTTTTGCTCCGTTTTAATATTTTTGATGAAGTGTTTGCAACTGTGAAATTTTTTGATGAATGTATTCCATTGTGTTTAAAAGAAAGAGATTTATTAAAATCCTTCGTTGTGCATTTGATAACATTCACTACTGTTTGTGTTTTTGGCATACGGTACTCAGAACTATGAAAATTGGAATACTTGATGCGATGTTTTGATTCCCTAAGAGTATTTTGGTAGTATGGGGGGTTTTATAAGTTGCTGAATTGCGGATCTGAAGGACTTAATTTATGAACTTATGCGGTACAGTTATCAGTATTGGCCTAATGTATTAGTTATCGTTATGGTATTGATGTATTCATGAGAAACAGGTAAAGATGCAATGGACGAAGTGAAAGCTCTGAAAATTCTGGATAGATTATCCCATGTAAATATTGATAATCCGGATCTAGCAACTCTGTCGAGGAATGGGGTCTTGCTTGACCGCTCACTTTATTCGCTTCCGGATTGTGCAGTGCGTCGTCGTTTTTTTTCTATCGTTGAATGTTTCCTTATTAGCTTGTGGCAGAAAAGCTGTTTTGGTTATAAACATTTGGGTGAGGAGACGCATCACGTAGTTTCCGTATTTGGCATTTTGAAAGATATTGTGTTGGAAATTTGTTTCAGTGCCGGTATGTGTCCATTTTCTGTCTATTACTTTTAAATTTTCTTAGCATTTCTGTTGAGGTTCCCTTTTTGGACTACACCTTTTGTACCGCTGGTAAAATTGTCTTATGTTAAAACCCTGCATGTCATTTGAATCTTTCTGTAGCTTGTTAAACTGATCGCTGTTAGATAATGGTTATAATGTATTATTCCACTCGCTGGAATCAAAATATAATAATGATTTCATCTGTCTTAGATATTCGTATCTATAATTTTTATATTATGATCTCATTTTATAGACACCGTATGGTTTGGTGGTGAACAGTTATGCCTTAAAACAAATCCACTGAATAATGCAATAGTGTTCCTCAGTTGCTGTTGGCATGCAGCTGCACTTGTTATCAATATATGCAGTTAGTGTGAACTTTGCGTTTTATTTGTGGCAGTTTGTGTTTATTTTACTGGGATTAGTCGTCCATTTACACAAAAATAGCTGCAGAAATGAGAGCTTTACAAATTCTTTAAACTGCTTTTCATTGCGATTTTTTTTTTTGAAAGAAATTGATGACATTTCTATATTCGTTTGATAGCCACTTGTTTTCAGATACTAGTGAAATTCAGGATTTATTAAAAACTTCGACTCGATTGATTCCACAGCATAGTTGTTTGTCAATAGCCTTATTGACGCAGGATGAAAGATGCCTTTCTACTGCTGTTGCATTCTTGCGTATGGAAACTGCTGAAATGTAAATTTCTAAAATTGATACAAAAGATTTTTTAGCGATACTGATTCGTGTAATGGACAATGATGCAATTTGTGGTGTGATGCGTTTTAGTTTGCCGTTCAGTACGCAGTGAACAAGTTTCTCTTGCTTATGACTTGAAAAAACTATTTTATTAGAGTCAGTGCTTGGGGGAATTCATGCAATTTGAAAATGAAAATAAATTAGACAGAATCTGGCTGAAGTAAAACTTAACTGAAGTTGATATTTCAGAGAGGTGATTTCGTTTGAAAAAACTAGTTTGATAGCAGAATGACTTGAACATCAGCAAATTAATTAAAGGAATTAATTACTCTTAAATTTTAGTGACACACCACCTCAGCTTAAAGCCATGCGGTTGTTCCGGCACACTTTATTTTCAATCGCTTATGACCATAAGGTATGGTATTCAGTTCTAGTATCTACCTTATTTAATTTATTATCCTTTTTCAGTAAAGGAAGATTTTTACGAAAATGAATTCGTTTTTTTTTTTTTTTTTTTTTTTTTTTTTTTTTGTAGCCACCTATTTTGAAATTAACCACATATTTTGAAATCACTGGCATAGGCTGTTGTTATTTACTATATCTTATTGTTCTGCTTTTATTCAAAAATTTGCACAGGTAATTCTGGATTGGCTCTATTCAGAATTTGCCGCTGTACCCTTTGTATTGCGTCTCCTCAAAATGCTGATCAAACAACAGAAGGATGACGATAAGCAACAGTATAGCAGTTTTTCGTGTTTGCAGTATGTTTCTTCATGTGATTCTGAGTGACAATAACGGACTTGCTTGGTGCATATGATAGTACTGACTCCTAAACGCGAACGTATGCTTTGTTTTAATAGATTTTCATTCGGGAGGCAAATTGAAAATTTGGAGTAAAATGGAATATATTTGTTTAGAAAATTGAATTTTTTTACCGCTGTTTTGTATTCAGCACCTTCAGTTAGTTTAGTCTACAAATTATGGGAGATTTTTAGAAAGCATGATTTGATTGCATTTCGTTGATACTTCCTATCATCTTAAGATGTAATGAAAGAAACAAGAAAACTCGGTTTATTCGGAGCAAAACGATTTCTTCCGGTGATGGTCTAACTCTTTGCATTCAACAACTGCATGGAGATTTACCCGTCACTACCTCCTATACATTCTCCAAGATCGAAAGAGTCTCTAATTTTTTTTTCTTTTTTTTTGATCTTAGAGGCAGTAAATGGATTAATCATGGGGCACCAGAACTTAAATATTTTGTTATTGAGTTAGGTGGAATTATGCATATTTATGTTAATATTTGGGCATTTCAATTCTGTTTTATACATAGAACTTCGATAATTCTAAAAGATTTATTAGATTGATGGACCTGTCATCAAATGAAAGAATAATTAGGATGATGTTATAGGAAGTATGTCTGATGGTGCCTGAACCAAGTGAAGAAGAATCAGGCGATCAGCAAATTGTGAAATGTTTCGAGAACTTACGAGCTTCTTGTATACGTTTGCAAAATTCGGGTGATGCCCCGTTTAATGTGATGCCCATAATTCGCATTATTGAGCAGCTGCGGAAGGCAGTAAAGAAGAGTGATACTGTTTTAGCACGCAAGTGTAGCCACAGGAATTATCAAGAGGCAAATATGACGTGACAAAGATGAATTTGTATGGGATCAATGTTTTTGTTCGCATTACAGTTGTGTATTTTGTCTGGATTGACTTCGTTTTGGGTTTTTTCCCTTTTTTTTAAAAAAGGAATCGATAAAAAAAATCTAATGGGTACAGATTCTTGTTAATGAAAGTTTCCTCACCAATCCATATTTTCCACATGCAATTAAAACTGTCAATCTCCCTTAGCAGTAGTGTTGTGTGGATAGAGTTTCGTGATTAGAGTGCTTCAATAGACGACTGATTAGTACTGCTTTTAGCGAATTGATTCTGGACCTGGAGTTAACATATTTAGGCGATGCGTTGGTTTGCGTTGTGGAGGTGCGCTGTCACGTGGTGGTGTTGAGGGTTTGTGAATTTTTAGTTGCTAGGTTAATGGTGTTTGGGTTGACTGCAGCATGGACGTAAGTGGGTTTGTTGAGATCAAGGTGAGCTTTTTATTTGCAGAGTGGTCCTAACAATGTCGTCATCTGGAAGCGATCGTCATCGATCAAAAAGTCATTCTCCTAGAAGGTCTGTTTGTTCGTTGATAAAAGGAAAGAAGAAAGTGCTTGGAAAATCAGCAGTTGAGAGAGTTATTCGAGAAACGTATTCGATGATCTCATGATTCATGATAACTTTTTAGCGTTTATTTCATGGGGGATCTCATATCTCAATTCTTCCTCTTTGGTATGTATATATACGCTATCAGGATTAGTGCGATAATTTATTTGCGCTGAAGAAACCAAATGTTTTAAAGTTTTAACCTAAAATAAATCTGGTTAAAGTTGCGCAAATCAAAGCGAAGTCGTTTTTTGGTGGAGGCTTATAGCCTTATAATTTTTGGTTTTCACATACCATACTTCCAGTGAACGATCTGACTCACGTAGCAATACACCACCTCGTCGTCGTAGCCGTTCAAGATCAGTTGATCGTGCCGCTGAGCAGCTTGGTCGGCTTCATATATGTAACTTCGATGAGAGTTTGAGAAAAGACGATCTGAAAGATGCATTCGGGTATTTCTTCGAACCTTTTTTCTTTTGGGAAACTGGTATTATGGACGCGTTGGTTTATTCACACCTGAACCATGTTTTTAAGACTATAATTTTGGGTAAGATTGTGGTATTTTCACATTTCTTCTTGATATACCATCAAATAGATTTGGGAACGTTATTCTCTGGTGATTTTTGTAAACTGTTATATAGTTCATAAAATAAGTTTTCTATATTGATGAAGTTATTTAGCAAATTTGGCGACATCGATAATGTTTGGTTAGCGTCTTATCCACCGCTGTTTGCTTTTGTGACATTCAAAGCGAAGGAAGATGCTGTTGATGCGCTGAAAGAGATGAATAATGCGTGCGTAAATTCATAGATGATTGATTTGATATTAATTATTACATAGAGCCTGAAGTACGATGAAGTTGTATTTTACATCAAAAAATTTTGGGTGTGGAGAATAATTTGAGGTTTGAAGATGTAATGCAATTAGTCTATGTTACCAACTGTTACCGATATGCAGGTACATTGGCAGAAACAAGATTAAGGTGGCTACAGCTCATCCACCAAGAAAACCAGGTGAACGTGGTCCACCTCGTCGCTATGGTGGTGGCGGTTATCGAGGAGGTGGTGGTCCACGGTTTGTATTTTTCCTAATTTTTTTCTACAACTTTCTCTTACACTATGTAATTGTTTGAAATTCGTTTATTCCGCTGTTGGCTGTATAATTCATATTTTAGTTCATATGGTGGATATGGTAGTAGGGGCGGTGGATATGGTGGAGGAGGTTACGGAGGACGATCAGGAAGTTCTCGCTCGTATGGTGGAGGCGGTTATCGAAGCAGTTACAGTGGCAGCGGAAATGGTAGTGATCGAAGGTAGGATTTTTGATCGATGAATCGTGTTCAGGATTGTGCATCAGATTGAATCCAAAAGAATTAACGTCTTCCTGCATTTTATGTCATGACTATCTTCATCCCTATTTTGATTTCAAAACACACTTCGTGTCTTATGGTATGTATATCTCCGTGATTTCAATCTGAACACAATGAAGTATGTTTGTTTTGAAAGGTTTCGTTTATTCTAAGAAACGAAACTACTGCCGCTAATGAGCTGATGGGGATTATAAGTAAACCAATAAAACTTCATGCCACTTTCAAGCTGTCAACTGGTTATGTCGAAAGTTTCTAAAATTCATTTTTCTTTATATTCCAGTACTCAGTCTCTCTTAAATGAAAGGAAAGAAAGCATTGCTTATGTATAAACCGGTCCGTTCTGCATTGGCCGAACTATGCACACTGGTGTTCGGGTACGAGTGAAATGAGTTATCCTCACTTACGGCTTCTGCCGGCCAAGCCAAATTTTGGTACTACTCATACGTAGATGATTCGGTTAACAGTTGTACGGTGGGCGGATACTGGTAGCTTTGACAAAATCGGCTACATTTGATTGTGTAAATTGCTGGATTCCGCGATGAATAATATTGGTGGTTACATCACAAGATATTCTTTTAAATGAAATATTGGGCATTGTACTACTACAAGTGGTAAGTCCGATTTTGCGCACTTGTATTTCTGGGTCCTGCTCCTCAGTACGTTCCTTTTTTGTCTTCGAGATTTTCGGATTATGAAGGCCGTTTTTAGTCTTTTTGCCGGTAATGCTGTAATGTGATTTGGTTGTTTGTGGTTTCTGGCATTGTTTCTCTGTGGGCTTTAAAATCATTTAAGTGGTACGTGTCGTGATGTTCAGAATTGTAAACTAATTTTACTTAAAATTAGCCAGTGCGACATTGGAGTTGTTTCTCAAGTGCCGGTCAGATGTTGCCCCCAAAATAACATCATATCAAATGAGACTCTGCATATCGAATCGTCACTGGTCCATTTGTCTACCAACATCATGTTTATCAAACTGCTAGTGGTTCATCTGTTTATTAGAGTTTAAAAAACATTTTCTGAAAGCTCGTTATTTTTGTGTTTTATTGGGCTGGGATCAGTAAACAAAACAGTACGTATTGCATGGGGACTACGTGCTGTGAAATCTGCACTGTTCTGATGCTTAGTAATGTGTTCCAAGGGGAATCCAGTAAAGGTAAGCTCATTTCTTTCATATTGTCAGCTTCAGTATTTCTGGTGATGGACTCTTTCAGGAGTGGCAGTAATCGATACAGTGATCGCCGTTGATTCGTCCTACCATTCCATGCAGGCAGTGATTTTTCCTTAAGTCTCTATTGATGTTGTTTTTCAATTTGCTCCATATTTTGAAACCAAAACTTTATTTTTCTGTTCAGGTCATGCCAGCAAAAGAAATCTTTTTGTGTCCGGTATTTAAGAGGTTAAAATTTTTTGCGTTGCTGATTTAATTTGCTTTTTCCGTTTGTTCAGAAATTTGAGTGGTTACAGAGTAATTAAAGAAGAGTTGTTAATGTACGAGCTATATGTTGATAAGATTGCACTATAAAATATACTAACGTAATTACAAGTGTGTCTGATTGTGCAAACGAAAGTAAAGCAGAAGTTGGACGTGGAATTCGAAAGCAGTTTTGGAAAACATATATAGGATACCGTTAGTAATTTGAAAATATTTTGGAGAGTTTGAGATGCTGTGCATGGTCGGATTTGATGCGGAATACTATTGTCAGACGCAGTGGTAGATATGTAACATCCAGTACTGATGCATGTAAAACAGAAAAAAAGCCTTGTTGACGAGGATATGCATTAGTTGAAAACTTCCGGAGAGGCATGTAACATTTAACTGTTTAATTAATGTTTTCTATTTAATTCATTAGTTGAAGGGTTTATTATTTAGCTTTGCATCTTCCTCATCCAAACAACTGGGTATATGGGATTGATTGGTCAGTATTCTATCATTTTTCCCATGAACATGCTGGGCTGTACAGTCGCATTTGATTTGTGAATATAAAGAAAGAGAAATGTGAAGATTTGTAAACAACGTGATGAGTAATTTTACAAGACAAAGCTTTTTTGCCCATTCATGTTGGATTTCTTCGCAGTGAAGCATGAGTTACTGCTGAAGCAAATTTCTGCTGTGACATGGTTTTAATTGCAAATTGCTGTTTAACATTTGATAATGCGGAAAGGTTTTATATTGTTTTTGAAGAACTTGTATGCTTTTTTTAGGTCTTCAATAATCTGAATCTGAATTAAAAAAGTGAAAGTTCCGTGCAATATTATTCTAATCTATTCATTATTTGGTACCGAAATCTCGTCTCTGAATTATTTATTACAAGTTATTGAATGCTGGAAGTTGACTATGTAAATGTATAAAAATGGGGCAGTTACAATTATTACATCTTATAGGATTCGTTGGAGAATATTCTGTGCATCACTTTTAGAGTTCAGTTAAGGCCATACCGATCACTTATTAAAAAGGTTCGAACTCAACCCTGTTCGTAATTGTAAACAGTTCAATTTAAGTTTATTCTCTCAAACTGTGGTATTTAACACGCCCTGAAATCAGGTGTTTTCGAAACCAGTATAAACGAGACACATTCGGTTTTTGATAGAAGTATGGTCCTTTAACTGAAACAAATATGGTAAACCTCAGGTATGTTATAAATTACATTCTAGATAATGTTGATTGTTTGCGTGAATGATTCAGTGCAAATTACTATACATAATCATTTGGGGGATTATTGATTATTGATAACCTACTTTTTATGCAAATGAATTGATAAGTAAGAAAGAAATGGTCACAAATTCATGCGTTTCTTTGAAATAACAATGAAACAATGAGAATTTCTGGAATACACCTGCATGATTACATTGTGGCAAATCTGGCGCTTTTGTCCATGTATTTGTGTAGTAAAAAAAAAGTATTTGTCTCTCCAGATCAGTAATCGAGAGTTTACTGATCTGGAGTGATTTATTTGATGTATATGTAAAATTTGGAATAACACAGGAATATAATATTTCCTTTATTAACAGAAGCAACAATATAATAAATTTATAAAAATTGAGGTACAAATTGAGCTGATTACAAGTGGAAGTGATCCCTTTTTGGTTGATTGCAATTGTTTTAGCGCAACATATATATATATATATATTGTTGAACTAGGAGTGGTGATGATAAATTCTTTGTTGGGTTTCAAAGATAGTGACAGGTCATAATGTAAAAATGGAAAAGGGGAGGTAATTTAAGGTTTAAATACCAATTAGGGTACAATGTAGAAAGGGTTTACAGTATGTGCATACTTAAAACAAAGAATTTATGTATAAGCATTATTTGCGAAGGGTTCATCAACCATATTTCTTACCTTAATTCTTTTTATTTTAATTTTTTTTTTACTTTTTTACTCGATATATATATTTATATATTTTAATATTTTAGATTTTACTCTAAAATTTTGCGACAACTTGTGCTTATGTCTGAAATAATTCTGCTATAAACACGATATATTATAGAATATATTGTTCTAACAATATGAAATAAAAATAAGCGGATATTTCATACATAACACTGCATGAGTTTACAACTACAAATTTTGGGATTAATAAATAAATGGAAAACTTATTGTTTTTCTGGAAAAGTAATTGAAAGTTATTAGTTAACAAAAAATGATTCAAAAAATCACGATTGACATTATGACTATCTTTTGGTTAATTCATGTAATCATCAGTTTATTCATTTGAAAAAAAAAATTATGGTTTATTTGTGATGAGTAAGTGAAGAAGGGAATGCATGCATAAAGTTGATTTACGATAAAAATGAAAATGAACATGCATGTTTGTTGTTACTAAGTAATTGAAACAATTCCCATATGAAATGCCGGAATGACTTTTGTCAGAAGAATGTCTGATAATTTAAACATTAATTTGCGGGTTTCATCTTTGATCCATTAATATACTCTTTTCATCGAAATATTTCAAAGTTTTGTAATTTTACAAAACTTGACAAGTTGCAAATTTTTTTTTCAAGTTTATAATATTTAAAAAAAAAAAAATAGTAATTTAGCATTCTGCTTAATCGAGTTATAAACAAGTATGTTTGAGATCTCTTTTTAATTTGAAAGGCATTTCCAAATTAACTTTTAATGAACAAATATCCTTCGCAACTTAATGATTTGTAAAAAAACAAATATCGAAAAGATGAATTTTTAATTTCAAATCTCATTAAAAAATCGAATAAATATGGTCAGTACAAAATATCTTTTAGCAAATAGTGACGTAATTGAATCTTATGACTTGACAGATAACTGACTATCCGTAAGAAAATCAAATCTACCATGGAATTATCAGTGACATATCAGTCAAACGAAGTGCATCATCTTCTTCCATCTACCCATTAATTATTTTATAGTTAATATTTTTGAATATTCAAATGTTTGTTTAGTATTTATCAAAATTGCTAATCATTTTGTTTTCTATATGGGACTGATTGGAGAAAAGAATTGAGTAAACTGAATAAAAATTACAGCACGATTAATCGGCCAGTGAAAACCTTTTCCTAATAATTATAGAAGCAATTAGTACAACATATTTAAAGTGCAAAATTTTTGTTAAAAAAAAAAAAAAAAAAAAAGAGAAGAGGAAAAAGTGGAATTATGTTGAATTATAATCAACTTTTAGCATCTTCTATTTAAGCACATTAAGTGAGGTAATGAGTATAATGCAAATATTTTCATATTGCACATATCTCAAATAATATATCATAATTATGAATGCTATGGCAGAAAAGTTAAACTTCAATGAATGTTATTAAATTTAATGTCTACACATCAGGTCGATCTTACTCTCCAAGTGCCCACTTTTTTTTTTTTATGAGTTATTGAATAATAAATGAAAATTTCAGAATGTTACTTTCTATTTATTAAATGAACATTTTCTAATGTTGTTCTAAAAAGATCTTCGTAATACAATCAGTTAATTGAATTCTGAATTGAATTTCCATATGGTTCATATTACTTGATGACCTGTAAGATCCATACAGTAATCTTTTAGGAAGTATTCTTTCTTACCGCGGCAAAATGTTCTGGTAGCATAATGATCTAATTTTGTGATAAGTGATCACAAGAAGATATAAATGATAACTTACTGTTGTAAACTTGACAAATGATTGCAGTTACTTCAACTATTTCAATTTATTTTAAAACTTTAAAATTATATTTCAATATTACTTTTTTCCACTACTTTTTTCTGTTTTATTAAGAAAGAATTTAATGACAAGTATGAAAGTATGGATATAAGTAATAATTTCATACAATTTAGCTGCGTTGAAAGATCGTTCACCTACTACAACTGGTTATTGTCATCTGCTTGGTTCAGTGTATTGGACATATCCTTATTAATAAGTTCAAATTCATAATCAGTTAAAATTCATAAGTCATACAAGAAAAATTGAAATCCAGTATGATTTTTCACATTTTCTAAACTTCATCTAAATGATTTAATGATAAATGGATATTTAAATAGATCAATAATACATAAATTAGATCAACACTACTTTTTTTCAGATACTTCTCTGAAACTCATTCTTTATGCTAGAAATTTCTAAAACTACTGAGAATAAACTTTGTGAACAAATTAAACAATCAAAAATAATACGACATTTTATGAAACATTCCCACTAGATCATTAATGATTTCCTGCCATCCATTTCCGTTTTTCAATCAATTCTAGCTTTCCAGAAATTTTCCTTTTAATTTGAATGAAAAAAAAAATCAGTAATTTTGATAAATTTAAGGTGATAATTATTTCGGTATAGTTTTATTACAAATTTTGGTATAATTTTAGTATAAATATATAAGTAGAACGAATTTTTGTTGTAGATTAATTATGTGTGTCATACTTCATCATACACTTTCAAACTGTTCGTCTATAAATTGTAAAATTTTTTTTTTGTTTTTTAAGTAAGTAAAAATAGTAACATATATTATGGATAGATTTAAAGAACTTTAATGATTTTATAAAAAATTAGTAGAAATTAACAATTAGCAGAAGTTGATATAGCATAGTTACCATTAGCATAGATAAGAGAAATCATTATCAAAAGCATTAAAAAATTTCCAGAAGTTATCTCATATCCACGCATAAAGTTACCAATTTTGAAATCCTCAACAATATGATATACTGTTTTAAAATTGCACGAAATTACTCATGAAACTTTGTAAGTTAAGAAAAGTCTATGAAATATTGCTCAAACAACATGTTAGAGTAAATTATTG